TTCACGTCTTCTTTATGGTTCCATTACACACACTCGCAGTCTTTTGCAAAAGATAAAGCCTCATCAAACACATGTGGACATTGCATTGATGATCGTGTACTTATCAGCGTTGCATTACTTGAATGCGTACCATGAACTACATACATAAATGGCCTTCAATGTGCGTTGTGTTGTATCTACTTCTCATAGACTTATTCCTAGAGTCGAAGAATGAAGCCGAAACTTAGGGATCTATATATATAATACCTCGTACATATGCCCAGCTCTTGGGCGAATGCTCAATGACCAACAAGCGGTGAGGAATAACCCTGTACGTACTTCGTATTCCGTAGTAGTATATCCATGGAGAGTGGGTGTGTTGGCGAGGGTCTTGGGCTTGTTCCCTCTTTTAAAAACCTGCGCTAGATGCAAATTTCTCTTCTTTTCAGCGTGAATTCATAATAATTTGCCCTTTTGATACATACGTACACAGTACGTACCCAAGTAGTTGTGTAGCTATGGCCTCTTATACGGACCCATGGAAGGCCAAAAAGAGTGTTATGATGCCCATAATGTATTTCATACATCTAGATTGTCAATAATACCTGGCTCTTCATTTAAAATGTCCGTTACTACATTATATATATACACCGAAATGGTTTCATCCATGATGTCCATGATGGAATAGCTCCGTATCTTATCGCCGTGCGGAGCCAAAGCCAAGCGCAACGTCAATTCCCCTCAACATCATCCCGAATCCACTTTCCTTCCTGTTCATCATCTCCAGCCTGTTGAGAGTGACCCAAATTCCCAGTCGGGCTGAACCGGGTAGATGCCGCAGAACTCGAGAGGCGACACCGAGCACAGCGGTAAGCGCCAATCAATCGGCAAGAGGAAGCTTTCTGATCAAGGAGAGCCGTCGCAGCCGCGATCGCAACAATCCATATCCGAGCTCCTCTCCCAGAGGTATTCACCCGACCGCAGCCTTGATCTGCAAACCCACAAGCGTTCCCGTCTGTCATCGTCTCCCTCACGCTCCTCAACCCAAACGAGCCCGCATAAGATGCATCCGATTTCCGGTTCCCCGCCTAAGAATGGCGTGCCAGGCCGGGGAGTTTCTGGGCTAAATGGTCCCATCAGATCCCATGGCTTGAATACTAATATCCGCCAAAACACATTTTCTCCTCACAGCGGCGCGAAAAAGCTCGTCGTCAAGAACCTTCGTACCGGACCGCGGCTTAACCAGGAATCGTATTTCGATAAAGTGTGGTCGCAGTTGGATGCGGCTTTAACGGCTATTTTTGATGACAGGAAACCAGAGAGCTCGCTGGAAGAGCTATACAAGGGCGGGGAGAATGTCTGCCGCCAGGAGCGGGCAGCTTTGTTGGCTAAGAAGCTTCAGGATCGGTGCAAAGAGTTCGTCAGCGGGAAAATGCGCACGAATCTTATCGCCAGAGCTGGAGGTAGCACTGATGTCGGTACATTGCGGATAGTGATTGAGGCGTGGTCGGCCTGGCACTCCAAGCTAGTATGTGTGGCAAGGAAATATCTCGAATGGAGGTTCACAGCTAACGTTCTTTACTCCCCCAGGTTACTATTCGCTGGATCTTCTATTATCTCGACCAGTCATTCCTCTTGCATTCTAAAGAACAACCGGTGATTCGCGAAATGGGATTGATTCAATTCCGGTCATACATCTTCTCTGATCCGAGTCTGAAGCCAAAGATTGTGAAAGGAGCATATGATTTGATCGAGGCCGATCGAGGTGGATTTACAAAGGCATTGACAGATTCAAGTTTGCTAAGAGATGCCATTGAGCTTTTCCACAGCCTCGATGTTTATGGGAGTGACTTTGAGCCTTTATTCATGGCCAAGTCCGCGGAGTTTGTGAAGCAGTGGTCTCAACAACAAGCAGCAGGGACCCTGGCTGCATACGTCGAGAATTCCCACCAGTTGATCGAACGTGAGGTAGAACGGTGTGGGCTGTTCTCTTTCAATCGAAGCACGAAGCTCAAACTGTCCAATCTCCTGGATGAGACTCTAGTGACACAGCGAACGGACGTGTTGACCAACGAAAACGAAGTGCTTGGCTTGATGCGAGCCGGCAATAAGACCGCCTTGAAGCAACTATACGGGTTGCTTGACCGGCGAGATCTTAGTCTCGAACTGAAGCCTGCATTTAGGAAGTACATCATCGAGGAGGGTGAGGGTATCGTGTTTAATCAAGATCTGGAGGCCGACATGGTCATTCACCTGCTCCAATTTAAGCAAAAGGTTGACGATATTTGCACCGATTCTTTCGAGTCGAATGAGGAACTGGGCCACACGGTCCGCGACGCCTTTGGTACCTTTATGAACCACGGGAAGAAGATGGACTCTACAGGTGGTACTGACAACCCCAAGTCGGGTGAAATGATCGCCAAATACGTGGATAGGCTCCTTAAGGGCGGTTACAAGCTGCCACCAGGCCGTAACCCAGAGGAAGTAAGCCTGATGTCCGACGATGCAGAGCTTGACCGACAGCTTGATCAAGTTCTCGACCTCTTCCGATTCGTACATGGAAAGGCTGTCTTTGAAGCCTTTTACAAGAACGACCTTGCCCGGCGTCTTTTGATGAAACGAAGTGCGAGCAACGATGCGGAAAAGAGCATGTTAACTCGTTTGAAGAACGGTTTGTCGCATCCAAAATCCGTATTTTATGCACTTTGGCTAATGTTTGGTAGAATGCGGGTCAAATTTCACTCATAACCTCGAGTCCATGTTCAACGATATGGACACTGCTAACGATGAGATGACGGCCTTCAGGCGGTCACAGCAGGACGAGCGCAGGAGCCGGTTCGAATTCGAAGTGAGCGTGCTCTCTGCCGCCTCCTGGCCGACATATCCCGATGTACCCGTACGGATTCCATCGACGATCGCACGCTCGATTAGCAGATTCGAGACGTTCTACCACAACAAACATACAGGGCGCAAGCTCACATGGAAACATCAACTGGCGCATTGTCAGCTGACTGCAAACTTCCCCCTCGGAAAGAAGAACCTGGTAGTCAGCTCGTTCCAGGCGATTGTGTTGCTGCTCTTTAACGATATCCCCAATGGCGAGAGCATGCAGTACCCCCAGATCCAAGAAGCGACCGGATTGTGTAAGTGGATCCACAGCGCTCTAAAAGTCGAACAATCCCTAACATGACACACAGCGGATCCGGAATTGAAACGAACGCTCCAGTCTCTCGCATGCGCCAAGTACCGAGTCTTATCCAAGGACCCGAAGGGCAAGGAGGTGAACTCTGGCGATAAATTCTCGTACAACGCGAATTTCAGCGACAAGCAAATGCGCATCAAGATCAACCAGATCCAGCTAAAGGAGACCAAAGAGGAAACCAAGACGACGCACGAGCGGGTTGCTGCCGACCGCCATTTCGAGACGCAAGCTGCCATCGTGCGCATTATGAAGGGCCGCAAAACCCTCAGCCACGCCGAGCTGATCGCGGAGGTTATCAGTGCTACTAAGACCCGGGGTGTTCTTCAGCCGGCCGATATTAAGGGAGAGATTGAGAAGTGCGTATCCCCTTACTAACTACCCCGTTGTCCCCGGTTATTGTGTCTAACATTGTTTTGCCTTTTAGGTTGATCGAGAAGGAGTATCTCGAGCGCAAAGAAGGCACTAATCAATACAGCTACGTGTCATAAGGCATAATCTTTTACATGTTGAGAGTAGGTACTTTATTCACTGAATGCACACATTTGTACGGAGTATTTGGTATATGTTTGATTATTTAGGGGGACTATTTAGTATGGGGATCCGGCAATTGATTATACCTCTGGAGAAAAACGGAGTAACTCCGGTCTCACCAAGCCACTAAGATACTTGATCTCGGCCAGTGCCGATGGTCCTTAATTAAAGAGCTCGTGTTGGGGGGTAGACCAAAGAGGAAATCCGTGCCATATACATATTCACCGAGGTAGTTGGGATACTAATGATAGTGGATGTATAGTATCCGAATGCTTCTAATATCCACGAACCCCATTGGAGAAGCGTAAGCCTGCGCGATCAACGAGCAAAGGAACACCCCATGACCTAGAGCTATACATATACCCCACAGTCCTGGATCTGACAGCAGATCCGAGTTCGGCTGTCCCTTTTGTACGTTAGTCTCATGATGTCTCCAATCCCGGTATTCGTCCTAGTGGCAATTTGCATTGGCATTGGCATTGGCTTGAGATACTATATTGTAGGTAATAAGAAGGACCTCTCTATGAAGGACCAGACCAACGCCTATAAGCTGTGATAACTATCCCAGAATACATCTACAATACTATCTATAACTCATACAAGCAAGTAAGAGGTGGTCGGTGCACCAGGAATGCCGGCATACTTACCAGGTTGAGGTCCAAGAAAGTCCACTCGGGCGAGAGTGGACTAGAATACATTGCACAGCTCTGGATGCATCGAATTGTCCATTCCAAGAATGTTCTCTGGTGAAAACGCCCATTCGGACGACAGAAGACGCCTTTCTGGAATGCGGTGCCTGGCGGGATATCCCTAGAGGGTAAGCCGAAGCGCAGATCAGACCTTGGATGTTCATGTGAGCTGGAAAAAAAAGGGAAAATGAAAGGAACACGTCCTTGCTTGTATGAATGGACATGCTCGGGTTCCTTAAAGAGGGAGGGAGTGCCTGTACTCCCACACTTCCGACTATATTCCGTACAACGTGAGTCTCAACAGTACATATACAACATACTTGGCTATACAAGTTACCCGGACTCTTGAAGATCCTAGTGACCGAACCCACTTTTTCCCCATTAAAGATCCTCAAATCCAATCCGAGAGCTTCTCGCTGGTGTTAGCTTTGAGAATCTTGGAATCTTGGAATCTTGCCTCATACCCCAGTGGCAAACAAGTTCCCCTTGGATTACTCGAGAAACATTATACCACTCTCTTAAAATACTCAAAACCTCAAACTCCGTCAGCTCTTCAATTCAAAATATACCCAATCGAAACTGTCCACTTTTGATCAGCAATGCAGAGTACGCTCCACCTCTGATCCCCCAGATCTTCCCCACATATCTGACCGTTTCCCAGCCAAACATTTCTTCGCCGACCCAGACCACCTGGTTCTCACTGCGCTTAACTCGCTTACACTCACAAACCCATCTCTGGCCCTGGACCGACAGCACAAGATCATATTCCGCCGTCCAGATGCGCCCCGCAGAGCAAACAAGGTCTCCATCGTGACGGGTGGCGGTTCCGGCCATGAACCCGCATTTGCAGGCTTCGTCGGCCACGGGCTCTGCGATGCCTCGGTCGCCGGTACCATCTTTGCCTCGCCGTCCGCCGAGCAGATCCGCAGGGCGGTTATCGATCGTGTCCCCACTGATAACGGCGTGCTGATCATTCCTATGAACTATACCGGTGATGTGCTGAACTTCGGTATGGCCACGGAGAAGTCCCGTGTTGCTGGTATCAAGACTGAATTCTTTGCTATCAATGATGATGTTGGTGTTGGTCGCGAGAAGGGTGGGAAAGTTGGTCGTCGCGGTATTGGTGGTGGTGTATTGATTCTAAAGATGGTTGGTGCGTTGGCTGAGGCTGGGTGAGTTTATACATATCATGGTCTACATGCTATACCTTTACAGAAATCGAATCAATGCTAACATACCTTCATCAGTGGCTCCCTAGACGACCTCTATGCTCTAGCCCAGCTAGCCAACGCAAATCTAGTCTCACTAGGATCATCACTCGAACACGTCCACGTGCCAGGCCGTGGTGTACCCGAAGACACGATCCCGCACGGCGAGGTCGAAGTCGGCATGGGAATCCACAACGAGCCGGGCTCGCACCGCGTGAAATTCGACCTCGTCGAGCTAGTCCGTGGTATGCTTCTACAGCTACTCGACCACAACGACCCAGACCGCTGCTACGTGACCCGCACGCCGGAGGATCAATTCGTGCTGCTAATCAACAATCTCGGCGGTGTTAGCCCGCTCGAGCTGGCCGGTATCACAGATGAAGTCTACCGCCAGCTCCAGCACGACTACCAGGTCAACATGGCCCGCGTGATCCAGGGTACTTTCCTAACCAGTCTGAACGGCCTCGGCTTCAGCATCTCGCTGATGAAGCTCGTCGACCCAGGCCTGGGCGTGAAAACTACTATGCTTGAGCTTCTTGACGCCCCCGCCGAGGCAGTCGGCTGGTCTGCCCCGATCAGTGCCTCTACCTGGGAAAACAACCGTAACGCGGCCCCCGTGGATCTGAAGACCTCCAATCTCACCGAAGACATCCACAGCAACCTCCAGCGTAAGTTTTTCCATCGCACCCACCATTTTCAATACCCAAAAACTAACCCAAACAACCTCAGTCGATCCAACCCTACTCCAAAAAATCCTCGGCGCCGGCCTGCAGCGCGTAATCGACGCCGAACCCGAAGTAACACGGTACGACACAATCGTCGGCGACGGCGACTGCGGCATCGGACTAAAGCGCGGCGCCGAAGCAATCCAATCCTTCCTCGCCGACGCCTCCCCACCACTAACCACCGACATCGTCAGCACCGTCGCGCGGATCGTGATCGTCGTGGAAAATGTCATGGACGGGACATCCGGCGCGATCTACGCGATCTTCCTGAACGCGCTCGCACACAGCTTACTGGCGCAGAACACTACCTCGCCGACGGCGATCACGACGGAGACGTGGGCGAAGGCGCTGAAGTCTTCGTTTGCGGCACTGGGGAAATACACGCCTGCTAAGCCTGGTGATCGGACGCTTATTGATGCGCTATCGCCGTTTGTGGATTCGTTGCTTGAGAGTGGGGATGTGAGGGTTGCTGCGGAGGCGGCGCGGCAGGGGACTGAGTCTACGAAGGATATGAAGGCGAGTCTTGGGAGGAGTGTTTATGTTGGGGGGGGAGGAGGAGTGGCTTGGGAAGATTCCGGATCCTGGCGCTTTTGGGTTGTCGCAGTTTTTGACGGGGCTTGCTGAGGCTGTTTAGGATTTGGTTTTCTAGGTGGTTTCTTCGTATACATAGCGGCATATCTGGCCCCGAGTTCTCTGTTCATGGTTGTGTCTTGATAGATATGGTCATTGATGATAATGATATTCTTATTTGGTTGATACATTGAGTGCTTGTAGTTGTACATGGCGAAGAATAAGGTATAACAATCCAACCCTTCATAATGTCCAAGGGATGAGACATCTCTGACGAGCTCGAGGAAGTACAAAAGGCAAAATCTATCTATGGATGAAGGTGGCCTACTAGCTTACAAGCATCTACAAAGGTCGTATCCATAAGATCTTTCTGTAAGATTCATTGCTAACCAGCTCTGCCCTAATTTGACGCCGCCCGAGGATTCCCTTTGAAAAAAAAGCAACGGGTAGGAGCCCGTGCAAAGAACTTAACGCCGAAAGGTCTTTTTATGTAGTCCATCCCCTTAGCCAATCGTGTCTTGGCGGGGACTAGAAGCAAGGGAGGAAAAGCACGCGAGGGAAAAATGAAAGAACAAAGGGTATCGAGATCGATTACATGATAACTTGCCCATGGAAAACGTTCATGGGTTCGAGATGCCGTGCAAATAGCAGGGATCATGTCAACGTGAGGCATTAGGCGTTTAGCTGAGCAGGACCAGGATGACGGAGTCGCCACGAAGGAACCTAAAGATAAGGCAGTAAGGTTAGAAACTGTTTCAAAGATAGCAAAGAGGGACGAAGATCCGTCCACGGTTGGTTCACGTACATCTTGCTGATGAAGCGGTCCTTGTTCACGCCCTTGCCCTTGACACCCTTGGGGTACTCGGTCCACATCTCCTTGACGTTCTCGAGAACCATGTTGAAGTGGCGATCAAAAGCCTTGACACGCGCCAGCAGCTTGCGGTTGTTGCGGCAGGAGATCAGGACCTGGGTGTGGGTGCGCGTGGCGGTCAGCAGGAGCGACAGGGGGCCGGCGCTGAGCTCATGCGACTCGACGAGAGAGACCTCATATTCACTATTAAAATGCAAGATGTAAAGTTAGTTTTATGTGCTGTATGTACTTTGCGCAGCTTGCATGAGGATGTGAAGAAGTCGGTCGCAAAGTTTCCGAGACGCGGGCGTCGTAGGCGAACCCCACAAGCTCGAGAATCAGAAACTCCCGATCAAGAGACCATTGATAACTCAGGATGAGAAAGGTCGCATAGGAAGGGAAGGGGGATAAATCAATTGTAAAGAGTGGACTTACGTGAGCTCGCTTCTCGGCTTGTTCAGAAGGTCCCTAGTCGGCTTGTTAGATGATTGGTTCTGAATGGAGCTAAGAGTTATTGATAGGGAAGCATACTGAATCTGGACTTCAGGAGCAGTCGACATGGTGGGCTCAGAAAGATTGCTGGTATCAAGAGATGCAGTTGAATCAGAAGGTGCGGTTGATGCAGGAGATGCAGGAGATGCAGAAGATGCAGTCGATTCAGAAGATGCTGTAGGTTCAGACATCTTGATGGTTGGCGGAGAGCAGAGGTCACGTGAAGCTTCTCACAAGCGCCTGAGGAAAATATTAGGCGCCTCAGGCCTTAGGCACCAACTTCCGGCCATTTCCCGAGGTCGCGATTGGCCGCAGTCACGTCGCGTCACGCTTGTTTGGAGATCTTTCGTGATAGCTTGACCCGCGCATGCAAGGCTCCTTAACCTCACCCCTTCCTCACTCGTCTCTCTTCCACTTTTGTCTGCTCATGCAGAGCTAGTGGAGAGATTATTGCTCTTTTTTCCCTGTTTAATTGGTAAGAATTGCTTTTTGCTTTTCCATGCCTATGTTCCCTCTGCGAGGGGATTCACAATTGCTAACATTCCAGGCCTGCAGATAAAAAGACCCCGCCACTACATACTCCTGCATAACCTGCCATTCTCCCGGTCGACGAGATCCTAGATATGCACTGCTGATCGGCTGGCTCGCTAATAATTGCCGGCTCATTCCAGATCCTGAGTGAAAGGGCTTTCTTTCTTTGATCGACAATTTCGCTCCGCTTTCCCCCTCTTTCTACCTGTCAACATCTTCGAACCTCGAGTCTCTTACCCCGACCATACTTGAATACCCTTCAGCCTCTACCATTCATTTCAACCCCAGAATTTGATCCACCGTCTTGCATGGTGGACAGACAAAGGCTGATGAGATGGAATCTCAGGACGGTATCGATGTCCGCCCTATGAGGCGTATGTTTTCCATTACCGATATAATGAGGGCGATGAATGGCAGCTAAACATGGTCATCATACAGTGAAAGTTCTTTACACATTCGACAACGACAATAAAACTAATTGCCTTGCTCGGTGGCCACACGTGCTTGACATCCAAACGGCATTTCTAGACGAGAACACTCCGGTTGGAGTGATTGAGTTAAAAATTTGCATCCAGGCAATCGTTTCTGCTAGGTTTGACTTCCTGATCCCCGGATGACCAAAATAGCATACTTACACAGTTCCTCGTTCAGCCCGGAGCTTGTGGGTCAATTAGGAAAGGATTATACCGTCTATGCCTACGACTATTCCGAATTCGAAACCCCTCTTGTCGGGCAAGGCATGCTATCTGGGGTGCTGGCCACCTTCTCATCGGCGACTGAGACACCCAACAACCAGTCGAAGACCATAATTACTGGCCGAGTTTGCAAGAGCCCCCTCAGTGGTCTCTTCTCCAAAGGTGCCCAAGAGACGTTGGAGGTCAAGCTACGGCTGGTGCCTGTCCCAACTGTCACCCAGAGTGAGTACTTAGCCAGCATGCAGAAGCATCGGAAGTTGACCAATGGCAATTCAGGCGACTTTGACACGCAATCATGGACAAATTTTATTCGCCAAAACCCCGCCCTTCTGGAATCCTCAAGAAGCCAGAGCCAGAACGACAACATCGGATCCCCGATCCATCAATCTGGGATTGAGAGATTCCACCAGCTCTTGAGCGAAGGCTCCACACCACGAGAGTTCGCTACATTCCACCACAATGGATCGGTCCGCTCGGTGTCGCCTTCGCACTCATACGCTGGCAGTCGGGTGTCAACACCTGGTGGATGTCGAACACCAGCTCATCAGCAATCCTACCCCAAGCAGAGCATTCCCCATAGCGATATGATTCGCCCGTCCTCAAGTGCCTCCATGCGAGACTGCGACAACCAGACCCAGCTTTCACACGTCTCACAAAACAACACCCGAAGAGGGTCCATTCAGTCAGGGTACGGCAGTGCTGATGAGGAATCAACGGAGGCCCCCGCCCGGAAGAGGGCCAAGGTGTATCAAGCAAGCTGGCCCGGAAAGTCGGGTATGAACATCGAAAGACAACCAAGTTCGCTTCGAGTTGCAGCCAGCACGGCGGCCTCTGTACGAATCCACCGCCCAACTCCTGTAAACCCCGCTCTCACCGTCGACCATTCACACGAAGAGCCCGTCCGTCCACCCACCCCCATATCTCGGCCGTCTGATTTCCCCCGCCGAAGCCGACCCACGGCTAGCTTGTTGCGGGAGTCGTCGAGCATTAGCATTGCCTCATGTCCCGCTTCGTACAGTTCTCCGTACTGCATGAGCGATGACATCCCTACCACAGACGCTGGCGGCCCCTCTCCCGAGGATACTCGTTACCAAGGTCTCTTCGAGCCATCCTCCAACATTCCATCATCTCCTCCAGTGTTCGATAGCCGGTTACCAAATAGATCAAGCCCTGTGTTGCCTACCATGTCTCTGGAGAACGACTCCGGCTTCATGAGCGCAGGGCCGGACGAGACCATAGACGATGACTCCGTTATTCCCCTAGGTGATCCCAGAACGGAATTGTCTCGTGGGATAACTCGAGACAAGTGCTCTGTCCGTTCTACCGTGCAGCCATGCTCTCCAGTCAGCATTGTCAGTGCCGCACAAGGGACCAATAAGGATCATCTCCCCGTCGATGATAACTCAACGGAGCAGATTGCAAAGCAAGCACCGCGTTCGGTATCTCGTGCTCCCCCTTCTCGCCCCGCTCAATCCCGCCCCGCATCGAGGCCTTCTTCGAGTTCTGGTGGACAACGCTTGGCGCTAAAACCACTCGCGCCGGCACCACATATCTTCCACGAAGTTCCCCAAATGTTTCGTGCAATCCCGGCTAGTGACCCCATTGTTCCTCCTCGGCCTACTGGGCCTGTGGATGTCACTTTCATGCCGTGTGAGACAGCTGGTTCCAATCCCAAGCAGTCGAAACAATCCTCGAAGCCAAAGTCAGTGCCGAAGCAGGTGACTAAGGCGGTGCCAAAGAATATAAAGGCACGCTTGGACAATGCGATTCTCAACGGGCTGATTCCGCCCTATTGCGAGAATTGCGGCTCCATCGAAACCGCCAGCTGGCGGCGAGCCTGGGTGAAAACGGTGAATGGCGGAGAGAGTCTTGCGGAGGATATGATGAGGTCTTCTCCCATGCTCTATTGGGATCCCGTGGACCGAAACGACAAGGGTGAAGTGAAAAGCTTCAAGATTTACAAAAAGGCTCTCGAGCAGGACGATAATGATTGGGATCAGATGACCTTCTGCAATCCTTGTGGTTTGTGGCTCCACAAATTCAAACAAATGCGCCCGGAAGACAAATGGACCAAGCCAGGAGCAGCGAAGCCGGCCACCAAAAAGAACAACAAAAAGCGTCCTTCGAGGAACCGCGCAGACGGCCAGGCCAAGTCCTGCCCTGCTGCCAGAACTCGGAGCAAGGCCGCACCAAAGAAGTCTTCCGCTTCCTCCCCAGCACCCACTGAAGCGTCTTCCATCCATCCCGATGGGGAGACCCCTCACATGGAAAATGACGACGACGATGATCAGGACGGTGAAGCAGATTATTCTCCCAACGAGTCTTCTCGATCCATCAGTCCTGATCCTGAGTTGGAAGTGCCGTTTGATACCCCAGGACGCCGTTGGTCCAAGGAGGACGCTAGAGAGGTACTGTCACGCGCCATCAAGTCTAGCCCAATGAGCCGTATGCACGCCCGCTCTGCTCCAGTGACAGATGCCAACAGTCTCACCCCCAAGCCTTTGAGAAGGTCACTTTTCAATAATCCTCAGAATGAAGGCCCTTTGAAGGAGCTTGATTCTTCTATGGTGAACAGCTGCTCTCCACGTCGCAGCCCTCGCATTGCCTCCACAAAGGATGACAAGCCGAATCAGCAGAAGGAGAACCTTGCACCCACCCCGAGTGATGGCCTCGATGATCTATTTGAAAGTCCCTCCATCGGATTCGATTCAGCAAGCCCTACTCCCCGTCGACGGAACCCGCGGATCAACGCGATTGACAAGCGTTTGTCTTTGCCCGCAAACTCCCCTAGCCTCAACAAACGTAAGGATCTAGGCTCCATTATGTCTCCAGCGCGACTGTCGGCAGAGCGCCTGCAGCGTATCCAATCACTTCACGGAAGTCCTCAGTCACCTCCACGGCAACAGAAGTCCCCGGCCAAGCAACAGCCTTTGGCACCACAGCTTGCAAACGACAGTCTTCCGGAGACCTTCGAGCCCCTTGATGGCATGATTCTCGACATTTTCGATGATGCTGCCAAGGCCGATGCTTTCTTCGAACTGGAGAACACCAAGTTCGCTGGTGACAACTGGGCGGAGTGGCTTCCAACGGACTACGCCTCCCCTGCTGGATCTTGCGAAACTCCTGCCAACGAGCTGCTCAACGCTCTATTCTCGGACCATCACAACGAGAAAGACAACTTCAACCCCGATCTCCTTCCCTTCAACTTCACCGATGTTATCGTTCCCGACTCGGGGTTCTTCAGTTCGGATGCTCTCGCTACCAACGACGCACCCAAGAGCCAGCCCGCTGGTGCAGACACCGAAGGCCAATAGCCACCTTCTTTGTCTTAGACCGGGAGTAACTTTATGAATGTTTTCCCACATATCAACCCGATCATGTTTACTTTTTTATTCTTTTATTTGTTTTTTTGTTGTCTTTTAGCGATGGCGTTCGGTTTATGGGTAGATCTCGTTGCATACAGCCAACGGTTCCTGACTTGCACCTTGAGATTTATGACCTTTTCTTATTTGTTCAAACTGATGACCTGGAGTATCTTGACAGGACTCCGATGCTGTATTCGCTGTGCCTGGTGGGTGGAAGTGGTGGTCTTTGTCAGGGATACCCTTTTTATGTAGCTCTTATGATAGTACGAAGTACGAAATCAAATCAAATCGCAATAATCATGCCCTGCCTTGTAGGTAGACTGCTTTAATAAAATGATTTACCTAGGCACCGGTTGAATCCAGTGACCCTGCCCGCGAGCTAAAAAAAGGCAAGAGCAACCCAGTGTCTATATGTAACCTAGGGTTCCGTATAGTCACCTGCTACAACCAGTAACTGAGAGGGAACAATGGCAAGAGCAAAGGGCCGTTGATTTTAGGCAGGCACGTGGGATGTGACAATATAAAAGAGCTCCCCCTACACTTTCTCCTCTTCTCCTCTTCTTCTCTCTTCCTCCTCTCCTCTTCTTCTCTCTTCCTCCTCTCATCCCTCTGACCACCATCTCACCGTAGCACCATGAGACAGTGTAGGCAGAGGGACCCGTAGCACATGCTGCTTCACCTACCACAGGGACCATAACATTACCATATGTATGAGGTCCATGTAGGTCTGCGTCAAACATCAAACCGGGCTTTCTCGTGGACGTTCCTGAAGTCGTGGCTCTCATTGCCACTTGACGAGTCCCACGGAATACATGAGGGGTGTAAATCTCCGTAGCCGAAGACTCGTACGGCTAGCCACCTAGGCAGTCACAGCACCAACTACATTCCAACCACCCTCAATTCTTATAAGTAAAGCTCAATGTAAAATTTTGATTGGGAGAAGCTTTGATCATAATCTCATACGCAAAATGCAAAAGCCGGGGAATCACAGAGGGAGAATCACAGTGACAGCATCGACATCCCGGGCCCGGTCAAACAGACATCTGCTCCCTAGGCTCTAATAGAGGGCATTGACAATGTCACAACAACTAGGCTGGCTTGTGCTCTTGGTATATTCCAGCCTTATACCACACCCGGGACAAACCCCTCAGAAAAACGGCTATGTATTCAAGTCCATCAACTCATGACCCATTAGTCGTAGAAGATACTCTTGAACTTATGTGTCGCATTGACAACATTCTCGTAGATCTTATAATCTAGATTCATGACAAACACACAAGTCAGTCTCTAGCCCAATTTACCTCGCAGAGGGAAGAATTCGACAACATACCGCAATCAGCTGGGTCACCCCACTCTGTCGAGCCCAGTACACGGATTCCGTATCCCTACAACACCCAAAGTATTAGCATCCACTCTATATAGCCATGGAAGCCCAAATCAAAGAAATTAAGTATATCCCTCCGGAGGCAGTGTGGAACATACCTGTCCACCCTCTAGATCAGCCACCTTCCCCACAATCTCAACCAGCTTCCCGACTTGCAGACGCGCATCAGACTTCAAGATCAGCGTGACATCGCCATTGGTTCCGCAGGTGAGCGTCCCCGTGTTACCGTGCAGCGCGGTGACGGTGCCGAGTATGCGAACGGTGTTCGAGCTAGTGCTGGAGGGGTGGAAGGCGTGGAGGTGAGAGGGGAGGATACGGGGGGTTTGGAGTGACATTTTCGAATATTGGCTGTTTTTTAACTAATATTGAGACCTCCGATTCGAGGGTGTTGAGCGTGATGTTTTTCGTTGCCTAGGTTGATGCTGGGAAACAGCGGGGAATAAGTAAGGCTGATCGGCGCGAGGCGCGGAACGCGTGGTCACGTGGTGATTAAATTAGTATGAAACTGGCTAATTGGACTTTTTGAGATGGATATCTGAAAATACTACGTGGACGTAGGCTTAATGGGGAATTTGGCTTCAGATTGAGCGGAGAGAAAGAAAGACTACCCAGGTATAAGAACCCAATTTTCGAGTTAATGCAGTGAATGCCTACTTCTGCCCTCCTGCAGCTCTTCGATATCATCACGTGGTCACATATATCCAGCAAAAGCTTCGGCCTCGATAACGTCGGTTCAACAAATCACCTCCACACCATACTACGGAGCAAACCTGGCGCAATTTTCTGGTGTTAAATTGCAAGCTAGGAAACGGGGCTCTACATCTCAATAATAATCAACATCCACCCTCCTTCCACATACCAGATCAGATCACAATGCCTCCTCCATTTCCATCTTCCCACCGGGGAATGACCAAAAACCCCGTTAAGCCTACTCGCTACCGTCCTGGAAAGGCTGTCGCAGAGGAGCCCTCGTCTGAGGAGGAAGAAGAGGAAGAGGATGATGAAGCTGAGCGGGAGGAGCGACGAGAACAAGAGCGTCGCAGACGAGCTGAGGCACTGCGCCGAGCGAAAGCGCCTAAAGCGAGCTCATTCCCAGCCTCTGCAGTAGCAGCCCAAAAAGCCGAGGAAGAGGACGACGAGGAAGGGTTCGTCACCGAAGAAGAAGAGGACGACCAGCCCAAGCCTGCACCAAAAGCAGTACCACAACCTACGACTGACGATGTAAAACCTACTGTGTCCAAAACTACCCCGGAGAGCGACGAAGAGGAAGAAGAAGAGGAAGAAGAAGAGGAAGAGGAAGAAAGCTCCGAAGAAGAGAGTAGTTCCGAAGACGAAGCACCTCGCCGCATGCTCATCCGGCCAACATTCATCAAAAAAGATAAGCGCAACACCGCACCCTTATCAGCCGGCCAGACGAAAGCACAAGCAGACGCAGAACGAGCAGCAGAAGCCGAAAGCCAACGCGCCGCACAACGCCAAGAAAAAGCAGACCAACTAATCCGCGATCAACTGGAGAAAGAAGCGATAGCGCGCTCAAGCGCGAACCGCGCCTGGGACGACGACGAGCTCGTCGAAGCCGAAGACGAAGAAGCCATTGACGACACGGACGGCCTGGACCCGGAAGCTGAGCGCGCGGCGTGGACACTCCGCGAGCTGAAGCGCGTGCAGCGATCCCGGGAAGCGATCGAAGCGAGCGAGAAAGAGCGCGAAGAGATCGAGCGCCGGCGGAACCTCACCACCGAAGAGCGCGAGCGCGAAGACAGCGAGTTCATCGCGAAGCAGAAGGAGGACCGCGATGCTACGCGCGGCCAGACGGGCTTCATGCAGCGCTATTTCCACAAGGGTGCTTTCTTCCGTGGGGATCTTGAGGCGGAGGGTCTGGATCGGCGTGAGCTTATGGGCGCGCGCTTCGAGGATGATGTCAATCGTGATACATTGCCGCAGTACATGCAGGTGCGCGACATGACGAAGCTTGGAAAGAAGGGCCGCACGCGCTATAAAGATCTTAAGTCTGAGGATACTGGGCGGTTTGGGGATGGATTGGAGAACAGGAGGAGGAGGGATGGGCCCCCTGAGGGTGTTACGGATGAGCGGTTTATGCCTGATCGTCGCGGTGGTGACGATGGGGATCGCGGACCGACGGGTGCTAATGCTAGCGTTGTTAGACCCCGGCGCAGGTCGAGGTCGCGTTCGCCTCGGCGGGAGCGACGTGATGATAGAGACTCAGGTCGGTTCGAGCGGAGCCGGTCTAGGGAGAGGCGGAAGCGGAGTCCATCGCCCTATGATGATCGGGAGAAACGTCGGCGAGTGGACAGTTCTTGATGATTCAGAATGTGAACGGACAATGTTGATATCCTGCTTGGCGGTTGGAGTTACGGCGCCAGTCCATCACATGTGCATGGTGGGATCTTCTACATCTCAATTTCGAGCAACCAATATGCCAATACCCTTCTATGTATGTACATGCACGTAATGGAACATATCCTCTCCTGGAGGAATTGTATTGTATGATATCTTCTGGCCGAGAAGGACTTTTGTACATGATTCACAGCAGATTCCAAGAACCGGTAAGAAATCCCTCAGATCGACCGTCCAAACTGGTACTTGCATGACTTCGTGAAGGGAATGCCGGTGCCGGAATCAAACATCACCAAAGAGCCGCAGACTAAGAGCGCCATAACCACCCTCGAGTATTTCAAACGCCGTAGATCTACCACGCTAACAAGCATACATTGATCAGCCTGTAGCCTCCAAATATCCCGGTAATGGTAATCCGAATGCAAGCTCATGAATTATTTAACACCCGCCCTCTCAAGCACCTTCTCCCTCTCCATAACCGGATCCCCAAAGCGAACCAAGAATACCGTCCGACTAGGCCACAGTTCCGTGGGCTGGTTATGCGCCGAGACCTTCGTCTCGAAGCCACACCCGTCACAGACACCCTCGATGATGCCGGCGACATAGGCAGCGCAGTTGAGCATGCTCATGTCGCGGGGCGCGCTGACATATGTGTTGACCATTGGGTCGTTATCGGTGATCATGTATTCGTTGGGAGTGTCTGGGGACACCGAGTGCTCGAGGGCATCTGCGGCGCGGCCGAAGAGGAGGCGCCAGAGGGGGCCATGGATCAGGTGCAGCAGGGTTATGATGCGGAGGGGTCGGTTTGGGGGTGAAGAGGAGGTAGAGGAGCTTGAGAGGGCGGAGGAGGAAGTTGAGGTTGAGCGGTAGAAGAGGAGGTCGAGGAGGCGGAGACCGAGGGGGTAGCCTTGTTCATTTAATCTGGGTAGAGGGGTCGTTAGCTAAGGGTTGTTGGGCAGTACATGGCAATATTTGTTTTAGGCTGGGGAGGAGATTGCATTGGATCAGGGGGTTGTCTCTTACCGTTTCTCCAGATCTTGGATACCTGTTACTCGTCGTTGAGCATATGTGACCATCTCCCCGAATAGAAAGGCGAAGCTCGCCCGGCTGAGCTCTGCAGTACGAGTCCGGTTCAGGTGTCGGTCGTAGATGGTCTTGCGATTCGAAGGTACACGCAGCCCAGGGGACGGTTGTGATAGCTGTGAGTGCTGCTGTGGTCTGTCGCTACCTGACGATATGCCGCCATTGCTCATAGATTGCATCGTGGCATGTCGATGTGGTGCCGCCATGGGAATGGCGTTGCGATTTGATTGAGAGGCGAGGAATACGGATTTGAGAGCTTGAGGATCTGGTGAAGTTGAGGTATCTATGGGAGGTTTTGAGGTCGCATGGGGTTGATAGGTGGATACAGTACGGCGGTGCACAACCCTCTCGGGTGCAATCCTGCAAGATTTTACTTCTGGGCTGAGAAACTACAGGTTTGGCTATGAAATACTAGGAAAAGATCTGAATTGGGAGATATTTGTAGAGGAAACGGCCATTCATTTGATACTAATATACGGAATGTCCTTGCTATGACTTCAACTCGACACAGCACATCACTCCAGATATCCTATGCCGATTTGCGCAAAGCAGTGACCTCCACGTCCAGAGACTAGCTGCAGAGCTAGAGACTGCACACTGCAAAGCGATGTATGATGTCGATGATAGAAAGATTTGACCAAGAAGGAATCCTGTTTCTGAGAGACAATTAGCAACCGTCTCGACTGCAAAGTTGAAATGCAAAGAATTCATAAAAAGAACAGCCAAATAGTTCTCAGACATCCAAGGAAGATATTCCGCTCAATGCCGCCTTGATTGGGTTCAAGCGACGGCTAGCGTGGAAACTGCGAATGTAGGAAGATTTTCATCATCGAACGGCGCGAGGCCGTTGGCTGGGGGGAATGCAGTGCAAGAAGAAAAAAGAAGTTGCAAACTTACCAAGTCAGTTAAGCAGAGTATATGTGATTCTATTCACATATACTCTGAAAGTGTCGGGCTCAAGATCGCAGTTCAAAGCCAGCATTGAGACTCTGAAAGCGAGGTGGTTGAGGAAGATGAAGAAAGAAGAATTTTCGGGCCGGGCGATGGCCTTTTTATAGGGCCAAGTGGACCTGCAGCTTCTTAGTCGAAAAAAAAAGTGTCCACTTGGAAAAAAAAGAAAAAACCAAATGGCTGGGAATTGTAGCTAATTATTAGCTAAAAGAATTAAAATCTTGTTGGGTCTTATTTTCTAACAACTAATACTCCGTAACCCCAGTCATATCGTTTTTCATAGATTCTACTAAAAAGCATGTACGCCCAACAATGAACCACCAGCTGTAACACAAGTGATCGAACCAAACAGGCACCAAATACGCTCATAAAAGAAGAGGTGAAGAGGAAGAAAGAGCCAAGGTCATGCCAAAGAAGCATTTCCTCCTCTTCAGCTACTTGAAGCTCTTCTGCTTTTGTCGAGAATTCCAGTTCAACGTCTTGGAGATGCTGTGCACCCAGCCTTCACCCTGCCCACCGGGAGGCAAGACATTGGCGAAGGGATATCTCGAGGCTGATACGGTAAGATAGTCACCGGGATGTAACTCAACCCTGGGATGTGTCAGTCATATGCAGACCCAGGTGCCAAACCAATGGCATATGTAACAAATGGAACAAACTCACCTGTCTCGTCCATCAAAGCCAGCCCATGAGCTCGTACGCGCATCGTACGGCACACCCATGCGCAAGACAATGGTGTCTGGTAGGATAATTGGTCGGAAGGATAGGGTGTGGGCGCAGATGGCGGTAACAAGAATGACGGGGTTATCAGGGTGAGAAAGAGAGCCACCAGCGGCGAGGTTGTAAGCAGTCGATCCGGTCGGGGTAGCAATGCACATTCCGTCAGCAAGCAGGGTGGTGAAATGCTCGTCGTCACCAAATATTTCGATTTGAGACATGGCTAGCGAAGATTGGTTAGCTGTGTCTGTTTCTGTTGTGACACCTAACACCTAACACTGAAGGAGAAGGCATACTTGGGTTTGGTCCCCGGTCAAGGACTACGTCGTTGAGAATTTCATGCACTCGATCTGGGGTGTGCGTCAATGTATCCTCCCCTTCCTCTCCAATCAGTTCCTCTACCAGGTCACGTTTTGATAGAGAGGGCCCGTGTGGGTCGTTTAGTCGCGCTTTGCTGCGCATGATGGTGCACTCGAACCGTAACCGTAGGCTGACGAAAACGCCATCCCGGAAAGCATTATTGAGGCTCTTCTGGTAATCCGCAAAGTCGAAATTGGTCATGAAGCCTAGTGAGCCCAACGCAAAGGAGAGTACGGGCGGTACGATGCGTTGGAACAGCCAACTCGTGTATAGGACGGTTCCATCTCCACCGAGCGTGATCACAAAATCAAACAAATGCGGCTTTTCATGCACGAGCTGGGGGTCCCAGTACTTGAGCCGGCCTTCAGCGGAGGGTTCGTCTTCTATCAGTTGCAACGCACCGAAGTCCGGATGCGTTTCGAGTCGCCGCTCGACGTAAACCACGTACGCAGAGTCGCGGTCCTTGGAGAGTAGCCACCTTGTAAGCTTTCGAGTCAGGCTTACCAGCGATTCGTCCTTCGCCTTGCTGACCACGAAGACAGTCCTCACGGTGAGCCTGAGCTTGATGCTGCCCAGCTTCTTGGATAGCTTTCGCACATTCCAAGCCATATCTGATAGCTGTCTTTTCGTAAGATGCCGGGATTCGAGAATTGCAGGTATCGCTTTCTCGTCCGTATCTAGCACCGGGATCGGGTCATCTGGCTCGAAACCTTTGGTATTTGTCACGGGTTGAGCCTCGTCCACTGTCCGTGTTATATCTTCCAGATCTTCCACATCTTCTGTACGTTTCAGGTGGTGTGGTGGTGAGGTCCATTCGCTCGCAATAAGGGAGTGAACGTAGCAGGCGGTCGTCAGGTCATCCTGAGCTGGGTGAGATCGGACCCTCGGCTTGTCCATCATAACAAGGGAGGATTTGCGACGGTGGCTGCAGTCCGGATAGAACACGACCTGTATGACGATATGCACTTAGTATGGTACTATGATAGGAGTCAAACTGCTTACCTCCAAATGATTCTGAGCTTCGGTATCACTCGCCCCTCCATCGTTCTATGATGGCATTGGTCAGTCACTATAACACTCCGGCCCACCAGCACTTACATCATCCATAGCTGCCTTGTTCGTTGTGCACTGGAATTTTTTGTTTGTCACTGTATCATGTCCAGGGTGTTGGTGGCATGAAAGAAAGTAGGTAGATAGCTGGTGGTATACCCCACCCTCCCGGTGTTGGTGGGCCGCAGATAAAACAGGGATGAGGTATCTTTTCTATGGCTTGTCTATAGAAAAGCTACATATACATAAGCTCAAATTTTGTCCACTAGCTCAAGGAAGATTAAGATCACTAAAATCGACTTATTTTCACTGCATACATCTTCTTGCATCTTCTCTGGCTACGTTCGTGAGATAAGAAAGTTATGTCTATGGGGACCGGGAGCTTGGCACGACTATGACGTATACAGTTCCACCCATTTTCCGGAGTATCTACGGAGTATATAAATCTCTTGAATGACCTGATTTGTGGAGATTTTGTCTGTAGTCATAGATTGCATACACAGTTCAGGCTTGCCTCGGAATACCTCATTCTCACGCTTTTTACGGAAGTATATCGCAACATATGATCTCGTAGATTTTCTCGCTAGTTTACTACCATACTTTACATCGAATTCTTCATCTCTCTCAATGCTGCCATCACCTCCACAGGATCGGTCTTGCCAGTTGCCTTTTGGATCTCGGGGTCCTGTGTGTTTAAATGAGCATCGGCATATACAAGGGCAAAGGATAAGGAACTTACATTGACACGCATAAACACATTGTGAAGCTAAATTTTTGTCAGTCTCGACTAGAATATCGCTTAGGTTCAGGTCTTACCTTTTCGTCGCCGATGGTGAATTTCCCTTGTGTCTGCATGTTCTGGTCCGCAAATGCCTGGAGCTTCTTGATAGGCTCGCTCTGCGACACTGCAATGCAGAACTTGACATTGGCTTTTGTATACTCATGACCGGGCTAGGAGGAGTCAGTATGAGACTTGTATCAACACGAAAAGGCAACCCTACATAAACCTTGGTGTCATCAGGCAGAGCCGCGAGGGTCTCGTTCAAGGCCTTGTGCATCTCCTTCGCATTTCCTTCAAAGAACCGACCACATCCTAATTTCCAAATCAGTTCATGATACTCGACAGGCGAAGGGTGGGATTCTTGAAAATGATACACATACCGCCAATGAACAGAGTATCGCCCGTGAAAACAACACGCTGGCCTCCATCTTGCATATAGTAGCAGACGCTGTCTTGCGTATGACAGGGAGTATGCAATGCCTTCACTAAGATGCGATCTCCGATCTTGAATTCTTCGCCATGCGCGGGAATCTTGGTGACGGACGCGCAGTCTCTGCCACCAATGACCTGAAGGCCCTTGAATTGTTTCAACTGGTACAAATGTTAGCTCGAGATAACACCCAATGACTCGAGAAAGCATGCATACAATTTCATCGTTACCGCCAGCATGATCCCAGTGGCTTCAGCAAATGTCAGTAAACCGGGATTTTTTCCTCTTTTTACCAGCCCATGAAAGCTCTATCCACATACTGGTGAGTGTTAACAATGGCCGTCAGGTCAATCTTGCCAGAAGCAATTTGAGACTTGAGCTCCGGCGCAACCCTGCAGTTCCACATAATCAGTTCAGCTCATGTAGTCTCAACCCGCTCTAGAATGCAACTCACTCAGGAGGATTAGCGGGATCAATAATAACCGACTGCTTAGTCGCCTCGTCCGTCACGAGGTAGGCATAGTTGTTGCCTTTCCCCGTCCCTGTAAAATTGATCTAGAATAAGCAATCATTCCTCCTGCAATATTACTACCAAGTAGCCACTGTTGATTGGTAATATATATGACGGACCGGAGGATCAACATACACATAGGAATTGATTGGATATGCATGGCTCTGGCTTGTGACCTGAATAGAGGCGACCTGGTTCCAAATAGTTGTGTCCTTAGAAAGTTCATCACCAACGATGAATCAAAATAGTGCGGGGAGCTCTTGAAAGAGATACATGACAGGGTGGATCTCGGATTACCAACGTCATCCGGAAGAACTATTTTCCAATTCTAGCTTGACAGCTTTAGTAATGCCACCGCTTTTGATTGGTTGCTCGTTACTCCGTGCTCCGTACTAGCTATCTTGTACAGGGTATATTGGTTTGGGGGTTCTCTAACGCTGCCAGCAGCGTATGCATTTTGTTAATTGGAGAGAAGCCCGTCTAATTACTCGATACCACACCCAAAGGTCGACTGTCCCATTTCTCGAGGAATCCCCATCCATGTTCCAGCAGCTTATCCGAGAGCTGGGATGGAGCGTATTGCGAGTCATTTCTAACATGTTTGGGTTTCGAGACTCGATTCTTGGCAGGTCGAGCGGTAATAACTGACTTGGGCTTGCCAGTCTGCTTTCTTAACTGATCTCCCAACATATTTGTCCAGTGGTGTGGACTTTCATCGCAGGCTCGGAGAACATAACTCTGCGGGCATGACTGCCTGTGGAACTCCCAGGCAGGAGATGTCAAGATATGCGCGATCCACAGATACAGTGCCTCGGAAGGCGCATCTGCCGATATATCGGTTGTGTTCTTAAAGGCTAGATCATTCACCAGATCTTCCGTCAAATGTCTCAAGAACGCAGGATGACTCTCTGCAACCTTTTGCAGAACCGGGTTCCATTCCTTGAATGTATCATTCATCGAATCCCCGAGTCTAGAATGTCACAGTCAGCATGTACTCCCCGACGACATATGCACCCCTGAAGACACACAGCCGAGACAAAAGCAAAAACAGGGGGGAAAATCAAACTCACTCCCGACCACTAGGGATCAAGAACCCCCGCTCAAGCAAAACAGAAGGCAAATACCTGACCCCAGTCGCCGAAACATTACAAACCGAGACAAGCTGCATAGCGACCGAAAGAGCCTGATCCCGTTTCCGCTTCTTGGACACAGGATCCACCGATCCGCTGGATAGAGGCTGCAGAGCGTCACACAAGACGGCCCTGACAGACGCACCGTCTTCATGGGTCAATGCAGGCGCACCGGAGTCGTCACCAACACCGGCCCAGTAATTGTCCCACAGCCACTCGAGCGAGCGCTGCGCAGCTTTGCGCAGTACGACAAGCGACGGTGGCTCGCGGTGGGTTGCTTCATGGCGGAGTTCCACGAAGGAGGCTGGGAGGCCTAGGTCAGTGGCGCGCTGGAACATTGTTCGGCGAACGCCGTGGATCTTGGTATCCACGAGACCAGTTACGAAGCTGAGTTGGAGCGTTAGTTATTTGAAAACGGGATATATGTATGTGAAGGGGAGTTTGAATTCAAGACATCATCCCAAGGGAATCGGACTGGGTTTTCTCTCTCATCAAAGTAAAAACAAGAATCAGGTACGGCTCAATACTCACCGACAGAAAGCTGCAGAATAAGTAGCACGAATTGAGAAGATGGAATTCCTCTGCGCATCATCGTGGAGAATAGCATCTGTCAACAACGCCGTAGCTTCAACATGATGCGGTACATTGCCGCGTAGCTTCCAAGCTTCGACCTTTGATTCCGGACATCGTTAGCAACCACATAAAAACTGGACATCGCACTCATTCTGTCGCCCATGCATATGTAACATACCACTGCACAGCCATGGGAACGCAAATCCGGTCCAGCGTACGCAGACGGAGGATAAAACTCGTCCCGCACTTCCAACAACTGAGACTTGGTTTTCCAAGCTGTGAAAATGACCTTTGCCATTTTCGGCGCTGGGTTTGAAATGAGAAATTAGAAATTAAATTCGACTCCGGATGCGTAAGCTTTTGCTTGCTTGACTTTTTGCGTTGATAGCCTGTGAAATATTTTCGGGGAATTGTTGTTCCTTTGGGATGGTTTTGCCGAGGTTTACTTTCTCCGTGGCCAATCAGAGGATTAGTTTGTATACTTCGAGACCTTGAAATGATGACAATGATTAACACTAGTAGTACTTTTTAAGTAAGACTAAAAATAGGAAGAATGGTAGCAAATATTGATGTGAATTCGGTATCGAATTGTATACGAGTACACCTAAAGTAATTGTAGCTAGTCCAAGTCTCGTCCCAGGGTATCCTTTCCGTGTATCCGACTCCGAGAAAAAAAAGATGATGAAAGATGACTCCACGCTATGCCGCTGGTACAGTAAAGGAATGCCGAAAAAAAAAAAAAAAAAGGAAAAAAAATTCTCCGCTAGGGGATCCCCTTAGATCCACCCGTACCCGTAATTCATGCAGGGCTGATTAAAACCAACAAAAGGCTGCACAGCAGTCATCGACTGTTGATCCGTATTATCGTGGTCGAAGAAGAACGACCGCTGGAGCAGGTTCAGAGCTTGTCTGGGCTGCTTGGAAGGAAAGTTCGACTGGCGAATGGTAGACGCGTATTCATGGTAGGCGGGCGGTTGCTGTGGCAATTCGCGGTGTCCAATGATCTCGACCTCTGCGTCCGTCTCGCTATCCTTGTCTTCGTCGGATGGGGTGAATGTTTCTTCGAGCTTGAGGCCCTCGCCTGATTTGCTCTGCGGGGCTCGTGCCAGTGTCCCGTTGGGCTGGCTGTAGAGGCCCATGCCGACTAGTTCTTCTTCGTTCTTTCCGGTCTTCTTGGGCTCGTCGGTGATCTGGAAGGGATTGTCGAATTGGTGCATGGGGAGAAAGTCCGGTGTTGATGGGCCACTCAGTTCACCTGGGGAAGGAACGCTGACGTAGCTTGGGCATGTTGTCTCTGGCGGGGGGATGTTGGTGCCCATTGATAGCATGTCCAGGTTCCAGTTATCGGAGCCTAGATGTGGCATCGTTGACATATCGGACATGGTGGCGACATCCCATCCGATTGTCGGGTCGATCTGTGAGCCGGTCATGAGTGCCGGCGTATGCTGTGGAAGTGGGTAATCCTCCTGCATGGTTGGGTAGACAGGGAAGTAGTCGGGGGAGAATGAAGGGTCGGCCATGGGATATGACATGATGTTTTCACCGCCGTAGACGGCTGAGTTGAGGTACTCATCCGGCAGGGCTCCCATACCGGCATAGCTATCCGAAGGGAAATCTGAGATGTACGGGTTGGAAAGACCGCGAGTTCTTGCCGATGAAGGATGCCAGCTCATCGGACGTGAGTTCCGGGCGGCTGAGGCGAGAAGGGCTTCTTCCAGGGATGACTGATATTGAGTGGGCAGGCCATGCATCACATTTTGATTCACTGTTGATCGTCTCCTGGTTGCTGTGGAAGGGCTGTTGCCTGCACTACGAGGCTTCATGACGCGAGTGTGCCTCGGTCGAGGGAAAGCATAAGTTAGATCTTGCATGGTGGACTGGCTATATGAAGCATCGTCTGGAAGCCATTGAGAGCCAGTTGAGGGAGGCTGAGGTTGCCAGGAATAATCGGCCATATAAAAAACTGGAAAGAAGTAAAGGCTTGAAGAGAGGAAGTTGACTATAAAGGGGGATCAAGTCAGTACATAGTCACTGTAGTAGACAGCAAATAGCTTACGTAGTGTGGGGTGCAGTTGAATGGAGAGTGGATTTGATAAAGAGAAAGAGCCGATGCTCCGTTCAGGAACGGGTGAGAGTATTTAATTCTGAAGATCCCGTTACTAGGCAAGGTAGGCTTATAAGGGAATCCAGGGAGCCGTAGCGGATCTACGATGCCACCGCACATGCTAAGATGACACGACGTTGACACTAACGAAAGGAGCCTAGACAAAAAGAAACAAAAGGGCAACCTGGAACCGAATCCATGAATCAGGGCAGTTCCACCGTTTCGACCAGGGCCCATAAGGAATACTCCGGAGTGCAGCAATAGCTAAGTGGGGGTGGGATCGGACCTGTGGGAACATGGAACATGCTTTTTGCGGCGAACATGGGGAAGAATGGAATAGATTAAATAGATTAAGTGCTAAAGAGGCCTAGTAAGAGGGTGGAATAGGGTATAACAGGGTATGATAGGCAGGAATACTAGGTAGAGCAGGTATAATATAGTGTATAATGTGTATAGTGGGGATAGTTACGGTATCTTATGCTAAAAGTAATCTCACACAGCCTAGACGCTCCCGTTTTCTTAAGTTTCCGAGGTTTTTCCTTTCTTTTCCCTTTTCGTTTAAGAAAAAGCAAATTGCAGAAATCCAAAATCCCAAATCCCAAATCCCAAATTCCCAGGGAACCTTGACCCTTTAGCCGCTGGGAATGGTTGACCCGCGATCCGGCCCGATCTGCGGTCAATACTTCCAAGGCTGAGTCGGTTTCTCTTTCTTGCTGATTGTAAGAATGCGAGATGAGAAGTCGTCTACAGGACACCTTGTCCTCCTTTCCTTCCCTTGTTTTCCTTCTCCCAGGTATAGCGTTGCCGGGCTCGTTACGCAAGGGTTACAATGTGATGGGCTAGAGATCTACGCACTGCCATTTTGAATTTCGACAGGGGTGTAAAGTGGAGTTAAAGATAATTATCGTCATCGCCCTTCCCAAAGTCTAGATTAAAGAACAAAACCGTCGTTTCTCCCTTTGGACCGTGCATACCCGAATGCGAGGTTGCTATTTTCTCTGCATGGGCTGACTTCCTTGACTACCCGGGCTACGGAGTACATGATGCAGGAGATGCATCATTGCCACCATATTCGTTAATCATTTACGGATACTTCTGACTCTTTTTTGACTTTTCTCATTTAAATGTTCCGAGCCTGGAAATAGACTACTCGACGCGCTTTCATCAGGTCACAGCCAATCAACTAGGTCGGCTTGGCTGAATTGAAAACGGAAATTTGGACCATGCGAGGTTTAGGCTACCTGCATTTTTACCGGATCACCATTTTGAGGTCACTCTCTAGTATCACCTGAGAAAAAAAAGAGGGGGCAACTAAAATATAGTTAATACAGACGGAGTATCCGTAGCGTAGGGACGATTTCCTCAACGCCTGTGGGCCTGTTTCATCGGGAGCGTGGCACAGAAAACTATCACAGGCGCCACCAAAATACATATGTTGTATGTCTCCCGTACATACGTACCTGCTAGGCAATCTAGAAAAACGGCCTAGTAACAAATTGGGCTCTGAGCGGGAAGCTCGGCTATCCCAAGCGGTTGAACCCCGTTGAGCTTGACTTTGAGTTGGGATTGTGTCCCAACAGTGACGTGATGTATACTTAGAATGTGATCAGTCTTCATATCATTCATATCACCTGCAGTTTCCAAGGTACGGAGATAGGATTGCAGGTAGAACAGACAGTTGCAAGTCCAGTCTCAGATGGGCGCCAATTCCTAGAACTTGGCATCGTGAACTAACGTGGAAGTAAAATGAATGAAGCCACAGAGCATTTTAGAAAAATTAAAAAGCCAGTTTGTGTCAGAAAAGGAGTAGTTGGAGCCATTCACAACGTGGCCAGGTGGATCTGATCGTGCTTAGGGCTCTGCCAAAGCCAAAAACAGATCAATGCCCGGTCCAAGCCCGGGTGTCTGGTCAGGGGGCGTTTTCTATTTTTCTTTAATTTAAGTATATTGCAGGATATAGTTTGGAGATAGCAATTTAAATTGCGATTTCTGAGAGGAACACACATGTTATAAATCAGCTCAATAAGATCCGGTAATATACAATATACAATATACAAAATAAGAGCCGATCTCGATGCAAAACACATCAAGCCCATCACGCGGCATACACCTTCGACCCACTCCCATTAAAAAAGGGAACGGAAAAGGAAAGAAAGCAAAGGAATAATTGGAGGCAGATGTGTCTGATTTGTCTTAATCAAAGTTCTCCTCTAGTGGAACCGCTGACACAATATGAGAAAAATGCCGATCCTCTATGGTATGCACTGAGCACACCGTAACAGCGGCACATTGGGATTTCTTTAATGCTGGTCTGATCACCCCCCTTTGAACATACAAAGAGGCATATCAGGGATCAGGACTCAGCCTGTACGTTTACAAAGTCGTAAATACGAGATTCTCCAAACCCTGCATGTCCAGGCAAGATCCGAGGCGGCCCAGTACCATGTTTTGTCCTCATATCATCGACTTTCCTATAGTGCAACTAGGCCTAATACGTCCATAACGGGGCCTAAGGACAGTAACTTCCGAAAGGGCGCGTATTCTATATCCACTGCACAGAGTGATGAACTTCCCATTTCACCGCCCAGGAATCCACCCCTCCACTATTGGGGCACAGGAGGGCGGAGCCGATCCCAGCTTCCTTCATCCTTCCAGACGTTCCAACTCGGGGGTTATGATTGCTCGGTTCCCCTTCTTAGCCCCAAAGAATGCAGCGGGAGCTGCGGGCCAAGTCAATTTGGCTTGCTTTAGCGCCATGTCATCAGCTCCTTACGGTGTAGCATCGGATGCGAACGTCCGGGTCACCCTGGTCCCCGTGCGTTCTCCTTTGTTCTTGTTCTGATATGTGAAATGTGATGGGATTCAGGGATTAGCAGGGATTAACAAGGATTAAACAGGGATATGAAGGATCTAAGGAGGTACAAAGAAAAAGAATTTATCACGGTCGCAATCCCCAAATCCAATGGTCAGCACTAATTGGCGGGGCCCTAGGACTCGACGGATCGTTGGGATTATCCTCCGACACTATGACCCAAATGTCGTCAAGGTTGAAACTTAGAGCTGCCGTTTCCCGATAGGCTGCAATAGAATCAGCTGGTCGTGCGGTGCTTCAGAGAGCGATTTCCAACAGCGCTTTCAATTCCAGTCTAGACCTGACAAGGGTCCGGTGACACAACATCTATCAGACACGTAAGGTCTAATGCACGATGCACGATGCAGCCTCACGGTTATTCTTCGTCATCGACTCTTTGACTCTACAATCAGAAAGTCAAAAGATATGTATCGGGCGCAATCCATAAATGCAGGCGGCCAATCCTCGGATATGTTGGTTTCTGACGCCACGCAAGGTCCAGGTGCAGCAGGGGGAGACATTCCTTATCTGAAGTCCAACTTATGACTGGTGAACACATCTGGTGATGGAAGAACCAACGGCGCCTAGCGGTCAAGCCCAGGTTCGACCAGGTCAAGCCAACGTGGTTCTCCGTCGAGAGGTTGGGCCAATCGCATTCCTCCGTTTGAATTACTCCAAAACCTTCCCAAATCCCACCGGCAAATTTACCAATTTAACGCTCTTTTTCTGTTTCTCCTGGGTATGGAGTACGGAGAACCCAGGTTCCACATTCTTGGTCTAACTATGCACTCACCCTTTTTCATAACTCAGCTGCTGATCTCCTTAGTGCGCTGATCTTGTTCCAAACAAAGGAAAATCAAAATCAATGACTTGGGGATCCATACTCCGTACTCTTTACTCCTATACTCCGTACTCATGCAGGGGCTGATCCTGAGGGGCTGCCCCTCGTATACTACGTAGCCCCAACTGACTATTTACTATTTACAATTGTCCAACAGTCGACATGACCTTCTACATACCTGTCGCCAGAAGAAGTTCGGTGCAGCTGATAGCAGGGGTATATGCAACTGCAGTGAGATGGCACACCATGCCTAGGGTTATATCGGGGAGCACAATCATATCACTGGTTATAATCCTAGCCTCGATTCTCGGCATTTATCATGTGTTGTAGACCACATATTACCAATTTACTGTAAGCGATATTGTACATGAGATTAGAGATTAGAGGCGCTTTGAGGGCCTTGGTAGAACTCAGCCACTTGTAATTCTACCTTTTTCCATGCTTTACAAAATTGGAGGGGCTCAAGCTCTGGAAGCATCTCCTGCCCTCTCCATAATAGTTTAATAAACTTGTCCCAATGAAGAAATGTAATTGCCCGCGCTCGCGTCAAGAGTTTTGAGACATCAGAATCTTGCCTATCACACATGCACTCCGACCTCCGATTCGACTCCGTGATATACCCGCTTTGCTGTCTTCACCCCGTTCTCCATCCATCACTGCAATTTTATCTTCCACAACCGGGTCTGCATGCCGACACAGATGTGATATACAGTGCTTCCGTATGTATCCCCACATACAAGTCTACATCTTCAGCGTACAACGTACAGCGTATATGTTTTATACTCAGGCCGCCTACAATATGTACTCTGTAATATGCACCGAGTCCACAGTACTTTATCTTGCCATTCCAACTCTCCCCTACATATGCAGCTACAGCGCACCAACATTCGTTATGTGTTATTCCGCATATTATAGTTACTCCATACAAACTCCATAGTTAAATCCATGTTGCCACTCTAAAGATCACCCAAAAAGGATCACCCACAGAAAAGGAAAAAGAAAACTATATTATCAGTGGAAACAGCCCCCTGAAAGCCCCAGTTTACCAGCTTACCCAAGTCGCAGCCCCCACTAAAACCGAGCATCATTGCCATATCGGACAAATGGTCCAACGGAGTCCCTCTCCCGCTTCTTTCCCGCTCCAACACCGACACACAGTGGTGGATACAAAATAGAGGTGGGTGTGTTACCAACTTTGGAAGAGTGATGAGCGCATTATTGGTTTTTGATTTCTGGCACTGACCATTGCAGTAGACTGGGCTGTTACACTTTACGCGAATACAATCTTGTAGATCGCCGGTGGAGTGTGGAGTGCAGAGTCTTGGTGTGGATGAGGCTTCTACAATAACGCATTAATTGTTGTTCATTGCGGGCTTGCGGTGTTGCGCTGTTGCGCTGTGGTTATTTCGAGAAATATTTTTACCGCTTATGTGTGTGCTACGTATATTTAGGCTCTGCGATGGTTTTAATCTTCGATCGTAAGATGTAAATGAGGCTTGTTTTCTTAAAATTGGTATAGCCAAGTCTTTATATGGAGTATATGTAGGCCGTTTTCCCAGTTAGGAGAGCGTGCGATGGAGTTGAATTTCCCCTCATATTCTGGTCTCCTTGATGCAATTATCAGGCTATCGATGTGCGATGGAAGCTTCGGTGCAGTCATTAATGGAAATATATATTGGAACGACCAGAGAGACCATGTCAAAATTTGACCATGTCAATTTATCCTCCCGTTTAATTCCCTGCTTCCCAGAGAGACTCAATCAATATCTTCAGAAGCACCCCCAATCTGATTAGACCATAGTCCCAATAACCGACGGCTCCATCATGGGGTTCCGTCAACCTGATCGGGTGCGAGATATCGTACAGTGTCTACACTATCACTGTTCACATGTGGCATTGAATGCGCATCCGAAACCAGACAGCATTACACCTGGTTGATTTTAGCTTCTCACGAGTATGTTGTATGTTGTTTAGATTCACGTCCGTGTGCCATATCATGGAAATGGCTAGTAGGAATAAGCAACCAACGATTGAACCCAGAGCAGATACACGAAGTTATTTCCAACTCTTGTTCCATAGCAGCTGCGTGTCTTCTGACTTAAAATTAAAATCTGCTTTGCTGCTGCTGATTCTCCTGTCTGAAAATCATGTCAGAAGCCCCTTTCGGAATCGGATGCTGTACTATCCGATCCCCGAAGTGCACATCATTTCGTCCTGAAATAGACAGAGTCTGAGCCTCGTACTGTTCACGGAAATGTTTGGTTAGTTCGACGAGATCATCTTATTCAGAAAAGATCTCATATCGCAAACGAAAACATATTCCTCAATGATTGTGGTATTCCTGGGCTGCATTAGACGTTGGTAAGCCCTGAATATCTTTCCATTCCATTCATCATCCCCCTTCTCTCCTTTTGTTGTGAGCAATGAAAGGAATCCGCCGGCTCCCTTGAGCTAATTGAAACGAGCGTGAAGACCAACGCTGGGGCATCCTGATCCTCCCCCGAGCTATGGTAGTCCATTTCCTGGCCCTCTTTTATGCACAGAAGAATGTCCACACCGCCGTTGCAAGGGTTGGCCTCCATCCAAAATCAACTTGTTCAGGCATGTAGTCAGGGACAGTTTCGAAGTATCCTATCAGCGTTTTGTTGAATACTGGTTCCTTTATAAACTTCATATGGGGCTCAGAGCCCGAGTTAGCTGCTGCATCGATTGCCAACTTTGCGATTATATCAATGGATATCAACATTGCGAATCGACCAACGTCAGGCCGGACGGGCTCTGTGGTGCTCAGCTCCGTAGTTGCACCGCTAGGATTTGGGGAAGGTGGAAGAGAGTCCATTTTGACATCACTGCTTGTTGTTTAGCAGTAGTTTCTTCGGCGCAATAGTCACACGGACGAAATCGGGCCAGGCATAAGTCCTCTCCGAGAATTCTTCAGCGCGAAGATAGATAACCAGACACCAGACCAACAAGCTGGGTTTCTTGTCTTTATCGGCTCGTAGGTTGTGTAAAAAATCGACAATAAAGAGCCCTTCTCTTTCAGGCTCCCCTCCAGGGAGTAGAACTTGAGCTTGCCGCTCTCATCGTAGCGATTTGTCTTGGTCGCATCACGGATCATGATATAGTCGATCTAGCGAACCACCAAATATTGAGAGATGGCGTACCCGATTGTCAGTAATATGTATACAAGACTCACTTCAATAATGGTGAAGATTTAGGGAGCCTTGTTGGAAATGATTTTGATGGAGACGTTCATGATGCACATAGTAAAGGTGATGACGGGCTGAAAGCGGAGCAGGGCCAGCGCCTTGAACGGGCCAAAGACGGCTATGAATATTTGAAAATCATGCTGATGTTGTTATGCTCCTCGGTCTGCGGATTTTGCTCGCGCTTTGCCATGGTGTCCGGCAAACATAGGAAAATCAGCACCAGCATCACACCGCCAAATATGGTGAGGGTAGACCCTGGGTCAAAGCACCTAGTTATCACGAGCGCTAGACTGGGTCCACAGAGAGGGCCTAGCTGAAATACTCCGGTTGCTTTACCTCGCGCTTTCGGATCCTAGATATCGGCGACGGCTCCTGTACTCATGAGCTGGACGAAATCTGCAGTTGGAGAACAATTAGATTGCGATGTTGACACTGACCACATTGATGGAGGAGGAAATCAGGAAGAGTAGGATGATGGCAGGGTGGACACGATTGACACGGAGGCCTTAAAACGCGGGCTCCACTGCACTGCATGACCTAACTACATGGTGGGTCGCCTATCAACGGCAGATCCCTATTTTCACTCTTTCACCATCACTCGACGCTGAATTCCAATCTTATAAGTCGCGATACGGCTAAGCAGGGGTTATTTCCTAATATGGGCAGACCTGCTACAGATACCAGAATCACCGGCTTCAAAGGGAATCCGACGGAGATAAACCCAACACTAGAAACTGCCAAGCCGACTTGCTGGGTTTAAAAGGAGCCTAACCTACTAAATTATATTAAGTCTGAGCATAACTCGGCACAATCTCCATTTTACCCCCCACCATCCTTATCATCGGTGCTTCGCGAGGCCTTGGCTACGCAGAATTCGTAGAAAAGGGATGAAACGTTGTCGGAACAGTCCGCGGCGGAGGGGCGCGGACATTACTCCACGAGCTAGCAGACAATCACAACGGCCGGGTTGAAATTGAGACCTCGGACATTTGCCAACCTGATCAAATCAAGGCGCTCGATAGGCGCTTGCCGGGCAATATATTCGATATCCTTTTTGTGAACGCTGGAATCACAAATCGTGACCCAACCAAACAATTGGAGATGTATCCACCGATGATTTTGTACATGTGATGGTCACGAATTCGCTTAGCCTCATGCGGGTCGTTGAAAGTCTGGCACATCATGTGGCTCCGAAAGGTCTTATCGGTGTGATGTCGTCTGGACAAGGAAGCATCGGCAACAACTGCGAGAGGTAATATCGTGGTAGTAAAGCCGCGCTGAAAATCTCCATCGAATAGCTTGTCAGGTCCCATCGCGTTCAATGGTGGTGATGGTCCGGATGCTCGGCTTACCAAGAAGAAAGCATCCCCAACTTGGTAAATGTACTCCTTTCAAAGAAAGAACGACCGGGGCTCGAATATCTTAACTACCTTGATCGGACTGTGAACCTTGGGAATAAGGTCATGTTGGTAATGCATCGAATTCACCATTAACCAATCTATCAAAGAAGCCGGTCGTTACCTAAACATGCTTTCAGGCATTCTAGTTAAGTGTTTTTCATATGAAATGTCAGTTACAGAGTGAGAGACTTTCTTGGGAAGATATCGCATGACCATGATCTTTGATTTGAACAGTTTCTTCTTCTTCTTCTCTAGATTTAGATCTAAATTATAGCCATATTTCTTCTATTTCCAGATAGGAAATAAAATGTTCTATTCCTTTTCAGATAGCTATGATTGGACTTGACTTGACAAGGGCGACCTCTTTCCATAGAACCAAAGCTAAATCATCACAACAGACAACCTCCGTTTCTCCTTGCAACCAATATCTCAAGCATCAGACGGCTTCACAGAACGCAAGGATACTGGAATAGCACTTGCATCATCCGACGCATTCCACAGCAAGGAATAAATCCCTTCGCCCTCCGAGTTCTCTCTAATATAGAAGCTGGAAGAGATTGCGCCAGAATCAGATTTCACCATCATCCATTGTCCGTAGAAGATGAAACCTGTTGTAGTCCTATTCGACGCGTTCGTAGACGCGAAGCCCATTTCATCATCCGAAGATGACGAACTGGGAATGTAGAGCATCTGGTCAGACCAGCTGGCGTTCGCATTGGTGGTTCCGTTCGGGTTGGCGATCCAAGTGCTATCCGTGGACGAACGTTCGACTAGTATGTCCCATATTAACACATAATCATGACTGCAGGGTGTAGGATTCACTGACAGTATACACTTGAAGTGTTCGAAGCAGTCGAGTTGGCTGGGTCACCAATCAGAGCCTTGCCTAGCACCTCGTCAATATGGTTCTGAATAGTGGTGAATGTTAAATCTTACCATCTCCGTAGAACAGAGAGAGACCACCAATTGAGTCTCCATACGCATAAAGTCCGAACTCCTCACCCACGCCGGGAGTGCTCCTAGAGGCAAAGTCAGAAGCGTACACGGACGCTCCCAAGCACAGCGCCGTGCAGAAGACCGAGGAACTGAACATAGTGGATAGCAGATAATGAGAAAGATGTTTAACCTTGGATAAGATTTACAGGAAGCTGACTATCCTATTGTTCTCTATATAGTTACATGGTCCTTTTGCATGTTACGTCCTCGCAGGCAGAGCTCCACTTAGTCAAAATTTAGGGTGAGCGTGCAGTATCCAATCATTCATCGCAAAACATAGTCTCTAAGGGGTTGTTAAAATTGGGTTGGTGGATGAGTCCGGGCCGCGCGCCGGGACACGCGTTGGCTGACGTGCCGTGGTGGTTCCTGTCAGGTACCTGAAGACTATCAGTTAGCTTGAAACAAGCGGAGACTTGATCTCCGACACTGCCTTGCAGCCTATGTCGCAATCTCGTTGGAATAAGAGGAGATAGGCTGCAGTAGCATTATTGGATCGGGCTGAGTTCGTCCGTTAATCCCAATCTGGGTGAGAGCTCCGAAACTATGACGATAGTCTATGTTGTAAATAGAAAATAAATTGTATTCTATCACCGAATTAGAACAAGAGCCTATCTGCTTAGGGCGTAGAGGGGCCAGATCTGTTCCGTTTCTTGGTTGATATACATCTTTCGATAAACAGCGATTGATCAAATACGGATACTCGCCATGGCAACTTCATGTAAGTGGCAATTGAGGCATGGTAGTTTTCAGAAATCATCATTTCTCTCTACTGTTATCTTAGATATTATATGCCACGTAATTCGTGACGGTGGCTTGCATTAGGGCAAAGTTTCCAATCGTGCAAGTCCAGTCCATTTGTAGAAAATCTTCGTGCATCTTCCCCTCAAGCAGTTCGAACTAGCTTAAAAATAGGCTTGCAGATTGACAAACCATGGTCCGGCACGGTCCGGCACGTGGATCCGTTACCCAAGGACTCCGTCGGACTTTGAGATTACGCACCCTTAGGTATGTGTCGTGCCAAAGTCAAGTCCAATCAGATCTCATTAATTTCGCTAGCTTACTGACCCTCCTGATACTGGATATGAGCTCCAACTTGCCTTGTAAGGCGTCACAATGATAGAGCGTCGGGGATCTATATATGTTGATAAGAATAGTTCGTAGCATCAATATTTCTCTACAAATAGTCCGAAAGTCCTTTCTAACAATATTACATTCGCTGCTATCCTTCCTTTTGTTTTTAAACTTTCATTCTTGTGAATTTACTTCGTGTCTGTCCGCCACAATTCAAATTGCTAGCATTCTTGACCGTCAAGCAATCATGAAGATTTGGACCACTCTTTTGATCCTGGCCGGAGTAGCCTCCGCAACCTCGATCCATCACGACAAACATACCAGGTTAAAGCGGGATGCTTGCTCTGGAAATACCGCCAGTGACAGACAGACCTGGTGCGACTACGACGTGAGCACCAACTACTACGATGTCGTCCCCACCACCGGCGTGACCAGAGAGTATTACTTCAACATCGAAGATGTCACAGTTGCTCCCGATGGCTACTCTCGTGCAGCAATGGCAGTCAACGGGACAATTCCAGGCCCTACCATCATAGCTGACTGGGGCGATGATGTTATCGTTCATGTCACCAACAGTCTGTCCTCAAAGAATGGATCTAGCATCCATTTCCACGGCATCCGCCAGAACTATACCAACCAGAACGATGGTGTTGTATCCATTACTCAATGCCCTACTGCTCCGGGGCAGACAACAACCTACAAGTGGAAAGCTACACAATATGGCACATCATGGTACCATTCTCACATTGGGTTGCAAGCCTATGAAGGTGTCTTCGGTGGAATTGTGATCAATGGTCCTGCCACTGAGAACTATGATGTGGACAAAGGAGTTTTGTTCCTCAATGATTGGAGTCACCAGACTGTTGATCAACTCTGGTACTCTGCCGAGGCCAATGGCCCGCCTACATTAGACAATGGTCTCATCAACGGTACCAATGTGTATGGGGATGACGATTCAACGACCCAGACAGGCCATCGCTTCAACACATCATTCACTGCAGGCACTTCTTATCGCTTCCGTCTTGTGAACGCTGCGGTAGATACCCACTTCAAGTTCTCAATTGACAACCATACTCTGACGGTGATGGCTATGGACTTGGTACCTATCGAGCCATTCACCACAACTATCTTGAACATCGGCATGGGTAAGAGACGATTTCACTACCAACCCACATATGACCTTACTAACCCTTATTCCTATTTAGGTCAGCGGTACGATATTGTGGTCAGCGCAGATCAATCCACCGGAAGTGACAGTTTCTGGATGCGCGCAATTCCCCAAGCCGCCTGCTCCGACAATGACAGCGCAGACAATATCAAAGGAATCGTTTATTACGGCAGCACAATATCCACCCCCACCACCACCGAATACACGTACACCGACAGTTGCGACGACATGGACATCTCTGATCTCGTCCCGTACCTGGCCCAGAGCGCGTCGGAGCCATACTATAACTCCAGCGAGCCAGTCACACTAGGCACAAACTCCGATAGCTACTTCCGCTGGCAGCTGAACGGGACAGCAATGCAAGTATACTGGGATAACCCGACACTCCTGCAAGTCTGGAACAACGACACGACATTCACCGAGGAAAGCGGCGTAATTGTGCTCCCGACCGCAGACCAGTGGTCCTATGTTGTCATCGAAACTACCCTGGCTGTCCCGCATCCCATCCACTTGCACGGCCACGACTTCTTTATCATCGCGCAGGGAACGGGCACGTACAGCTCCTCTGATGACACGAGCTTGACGAACCCGCCCCGCCGGGATGTGGCCATGCTCCCGGCCGCTGGGTACCTTGCCATTGCGTTCAAGACTGACAATCCCGGAGCTTGGCTGATGCATTGCCATATTGGATGGCATACTTCGGAGGGCTTTGCTATTCAGTTCTTGGAGAGGTATGATGAGGCGCGGGCCCTGATTGATTATGATACTTTGAATTCTACTTGTGAGGCGTGGGATGCATATGTCACAGAGAGTTCGGTCGAGGAGGAGGATGATGGCATATAGATATACAGACAGTGGAGGGAGTAATGGTTGAGGGTTCGTTTCACCGTTGGTGAATTCGATTGATATAAAAAGGAACATTATTTCTCCATCCTTTCCGTTCCTCTTGAATTATTCCCTATATCTCTAGATACTTCCATATTTTCCTTTTCTATGCGGATAACACCCTCATTCACCCTTGATAGTGCACAAAAAGAGGCTATTTCGTCAAAGATGTCATCTGTAACAAAAGATAGTTGGATTTCTAGATTACTAGGTAGGCTTGTCGGTCTTGTCGCAGGCGCTGTACGATTGTCTCTGCGTCTGGAAGGTGCAACCCCGGAAGCTCTTCCTTCATCTTGCAATTTGATTGTTTTGTGACAAGATACGGAACAGGAAAGAAGGAACGAAGAAAAGAAGGAAAGAAGGGCATAGATGAATATGACTCAACGGAAATGACTCAGGCTGTGTTGTGTCTTCGGTCCCTTTTGTGATCTTTATAGACTTTTTCATCGTCTTTCTTTGGTTAGTATCCTTTAATGACAATAGACGTGACAAAATTGGGAAACAAAAAACACCAGCCATTGTCATAGTCCGCAATATAGGGGCTATGCCGACCGAGCTCGCTCATCCACCCCCGGAGACGGCAGGGCAACGAGACAGCTTTTCGTGGCGGAGTGCAGCCAACAAAGATGGCGATCTCCTTCAAACAGCAAATACCCCGTGGTCCGAACCATTTGGTGCAAATAAACGGGTTTCTTTAGCGGGACCTTATTTCACAACGTTCACATATGGTGATGCCACATATGTATTTCTGTCGGCCAAAAGCCCTATATTGGGATCCTCACAATGAGATGGAGAAAGACTGGCTCGTGAGTTTTGTCGGCACTTAGATGGATAGACGTGTTCTTGATGCTCTTGACAAAGGGACCCCCAGAAAGCATTGACACGACACTAACAATTGATTCGACGCTAGCTAAGCCGCTAATTGCATTCGAATTTCTATTTTTATGCTGCGCCCAGTCCTATTCGCAGGGATTTTCTGTTTGGTTGGAGTTTCTGCAGATGCCATTGGCCCCCTTTTTTTCAATTTAACGTACGATGCACCTATCCGAGTAAAGTGCCCATATTGGTTACCCAATGCTATAGGCGCTGTTGGGTACGATGTGATGTGACTTGGGTTGCAGTAGATCTTCCGATGCTCCTCTTAAAATAGAAAGCTTTTAGCATTGAGCCACAAAAATATAAAGACATCCATAGAGCCCGGTAAAGACTGGATTTAGAGAAGACCCCACTACGACCATCCTTCCAGCAATAATCGATCATTAGCAAATATCTAGCCATCTTGGTCAACTTCACTTGCAATGCCCGCCAACAAAGATCGGATATATGTTGCGCTCCATGCACGACGAGGCAGACTAACCATGCCAGACAAGGAAGACACGTGAGAACCATTCAAGATGCTGTTTAGCTCGAAGTCATTAGCAAGACTAATATATGTCTTGATTAGGTACCACTGGTCCGTGATTGTAGGGCCCAAATTTGAAACTGAGAATAGCACGGGTTTCTGTTACCACGCGAACGAGAGCCCAAAGTTAGGAGGGGGCTCTGAATGGCACTTCGAAGAGTTTGAGTGTTCACTTAACAGTGGCAACATGTTACTTGTTCGTATCCTGATTGGCAAGGTATTGGACGGATATCATGTAGCCGAAATTATGCGCAACACGCCTGTCCGACAGAGTCGGCCGGGATGGAATTGTGTCGCGTGGGTAAAGGAGGCTTTGGAAACGCTCGAGGCTGATAATAAGGCTTTAGGCACGAGATTGCTTGAGTGGAGCATAGTGCACGATATAGCAATAGCTTACTGTCAACGGAAGATATATGAGCACCGTTTTGATGGTCGGGGCGGTTTTGATATGAGAAAAACTCCAATTTATGACTTGTTGGAGCAAAGGGAGACTGTTCCTTGAGTTATCGAGGCAGATTAAGTCCAATATATCAGAAGCGCAATTAACACAACTGCTCGAACAAGTGATATCGCTCTATGAGGAAGCTGGTATATGCATATATTCCATTAAGGATAACATAAAATATACTTCGTATAGACAACCTGCATAATTTTGACTGTCATCGTTTTCTTACTTCTACCAATGATATAGCTACTTTCAAATATGCTGTAATAGTAAACAGTCCCAAATAGGAAGTCCGCAATCATCATGACATCAATGCAATGGAAGCATGGATTACATCATTTCAGTACAAATTCCAGTTTATGGGAGACTCTATTAATGAACACCTAACAATTCAACAATTCGCGAATACAACCCTGAACCTAACGTATACACAAAATGTCAAACTCGGGAAAGAGCTGCTGCAACGATGGAACTGAACTTCCAGACGAGCCGCGGACAATGAAGAGTCGAGTACTCGAGACTGGAGCCTCAATGATCCAAGACTTCACGCCCGTAAAGCAAATCTGCGCACATCTCAATGCATTCCACTTTTACGCCAACGATCCAACTCGATGTCTGGAAGCCGATCACTATTGCACTCACTTAACAGAGGGTATGTGACAACAGCCATGTCTATAGCCAAACACAACTGAATGACCGATGTGCTGGGCATTAATACTTATCCAGATATCCGCCAATGCCTGATCTACGACTCATCCAAGGCAAACGCCCGCCTCATCGGCGTGGAATACATGATCTCGCCGCGGATTTTCGTGACTCTTCCCACCGAAGAGCGTAAGCTCTGGCACACGCACGAGTTCGAGGTCAAAAGCGGCATGCTGGTCATGCCAGCACCAGCTGGTGTGCCCGACGCTATCTGGGAAGCTGCCGAGACGGCAGAGATGCAAGACGTTGCGCCTGTCTATGGCAAGACGTATCATTTCTGGCAGGTTGATCGTGGAGATCCTGTGCCTCTAGGCGAGCCGCAGTTGATGGGCAGCTTTGTATCGAATGAGAGCGTGAAGTTGGCACATCCTGCGGGGTTGGATTCGTTGTTGGAGGACCGGGACAAGAGGTATGGCGTGGATCATCAGCAGAAGGCGAAGAAGAGGGAGGGCATTGAGCCGGTCCAGAAGCATCCCGGTATGTACTATGCTTCTTAATTGGCTTTGGTTGGAGTTTACTTACATGCTTGTTAGATGCTGATTCGTGGTACAAAAAGTCACATTGATTGACGCATGGATAATCTCATCCATATTGTTCAGGGAGGTTACGAGAGATAGGGAGCATGAGAAACCGAAAATGATAATAAATTGTCTAATTGAGATGTCTCCCCACTATGCATGCCTCAAGAACCCAGTCCCATAATGAAATGGGGTCAAAGTGAGACACACTGGGGGACAACCTATTAGAAGATAGGCTGGTTGTGTTCATCTTGCTTCATATTCCACACGTGCTCGTCCTGGTTATGTATTTCGGCGACGGCAAGCTCTAGCATTTGGAGAAGCGAACATCCCGGAAGGGATTAGGGTAGGGGTAAAGGCTTAGGGGAGTATATGTAAAGGGTATTGACTGTTTGAACATCTCCATATTGTAGAGATGTTCGAATAATCGAGACATGAAAGAAAATCCAGATCCCTCTCAGCCCAGCGCCCACGAAACATTAATGGGCAGCTGATACGGCTGGGAGGGTCCTGGATATCAAAATCCAATGCGACGGCAATATCCTATCAATCACTGACTCAAGACAAAGGACATATTGACTGATGATGGGAGAAGGGGAGGATGTGGAGCGAAAAAATCAAATTTAAAGGCTCCAAACAGTCACATGACCAGCTCCCGACCGCGGAATAGTTGATGCAGCTCGATCTGAGCAATCCCATGCTTCCAATTCACCACACATGGAGCAGTTAGTCCGGTCTGTAATAAAGGCTGCCAATCTGCGCACCATTGGCAGGCTTGCGCTCAATGGCACCAGCACGTTTTGCGCCTGTGCGCTGATCTGGGAGCACCTGATAACTGTCCAGCTCAGCGAGGGCCCATCGATGTACCCTACCTTCGACGTGCGAGGCGATTGGCTCATGATATCGCGCCTCCACCGCAATGGCAAAGGAATCGAGGTCGGAGATGTCGTGCGATATGGTCACCCGAACTTTCAAGGCGTGCATGTGGCCAAGCGGGTAGTGGGCATGCCTGGGGATTTTGTCTGTCAAGATAAGCCGCTTAGCACGAGTATTGGCAAGGATGGAAATATGATCCAGGTGGGTTATAGGTTCTTCGTTCTGGTTGAATTCAATTGCTGACTTGACTTTGTGCAGGTTCCCGAAGGTCATGTCTTTTTGGCCGGCGATAATCTGCCCTGGTCTAGGGATTCGAGGAATTATGGCCCAGTGCCCATGGGTCTCATTAATGGGAAGATAATTGCAAGGGTATGGCCTCCGTCGAAGATGGGATGGGTGACCAATCCGTTGCAACCGGCGCAACTGGATTCCCAGAACATCTAAGGGTTATACATTGTACATTATACCAGACCGGTGGATTACAATGCCGATGCGTGGCACTCTGGTCCACTTTGTTTAAGCATACGCATGGAGTTTGGTTGAAAGGGATTAAATCAGTGTGCATATTCATACATATATCAAATTGTACAATACAAAGGCTTGAAGACAAACAAGATCAGCGGAACGAAGAGGGGTTACGTCTCTTATATGGCAGAGGCTCAACTCTCTTGCGGCGCAGCTCCACATTAGCACCGTCGAATCCAATCTCCTTCATGACCTCCAGGGTCGTGGCGTCCCATTGGGTACGGAACAGGTGAGCACCGATGGCCTTGAGATGGTAACGGGACTGGAGACTGCGAAGGAGGGTGGTGTCGCGGTCAGACTCCTTGGCCTTGACGGCGGCAAAGTCGAGAGGCTGGGAATCCTTCTGCTCCATGATGAAGAGGGAGAGGCGGTGGTAGGGACTTCCCATCTGGGCAACAGGTGGTAGCCAGGGGAGAACCACCTGCGAATCTTCCAAAAGCTGTGCGAGATCGATCTTGGTGGAGGTGGCCGAGATGGGGACGTTGACGGCCAGGAAGTGTGTCTTATAATCGAAGTTGTCGTTCTCAACGTTCGGGACATCAGGGTCGACAATTGCAATAGTGACTAGCTTTTCACCAGCCTCAAAGATTTGCACGTCGAGTTTAGGCGCGCTCGTGCTGAGTCTCGCTTCGACGAATTCACCGGCTTGGATTTGGCGCTTGCCGAAGTACAGCTTTGTCTCGACGACAGGGTCGCAGTGAGGGAGGACATCGGGAATGACGTTCATCTGGGTGATACGCTGGACCAGGATCTTGCGGCGGTATTCGCGCCATTTGCGGTCGGCCAAAAAGCGATAGATGGGCTTGGACATGTCACCTGGATTGGTAGAAATCGATCGATTAGTCTCAGCCGAGGTTGATCACTTGATCTAGAGATGATTACCTTCATTATCTTCGAACTTTCGCTTGACCAAGGGATCGTTAATATCGGCCAGAACCTTGAGGCGCTCCAGGTGTAATTGCATGGCAGTAACACGGGATTTCTTCGCCTTTGCTCCTCCAGCCTCCTCGTCGGACAAAGCCTCCTGTCTGGCAAGGCGTTGCCTCATCGTCTCAATCTCCTTCAGTTTCTCTTCGCGGTCCGCAAGCAAAATCTTCCGGGCTTCTTGGAAACATTGGTAGGGCAATTGTTCGAAGGGAAGGTTCTCTGAATCTTGGAGCGCGGCACGGCGACGACGAGATCCAATAGGGGCGGTTCCCTGTCGGAGCAAACGTCTTTCGAGACGGGGACTCGTCACAAGAGAGGGATCGGGTGCCTTGTGGAAAGGTTGGGCCGGAGTTTCAACTTCGGCATCTCGAACACTCGCGGTCGACTGGAAGGCTCGCGTTTGGAGCTGGACTCCAGCCACGCCTCTAGAGTAGGTATTGCGAAGGCATTGGAGCAGAGGCTTCGAAGCCCGCTCGCAGTGGGCCATGATTCGAGGAATTGGAGGTTATGGTGGGCTTGGCCTTGAGGATCCGATGTTGTTGTCTTCCCGGGGAACTTTTTCTGTTCGGTCACTTAACCTGTCACGTGATCTCCAAGTGGTATCCAGGCCCGGGAATACATCAAGACATCAAATACATTAAAAAGTCCTCTCTACAATTAAATTATATTTGACACCAACACTTGATTCAATGCAACCGGATAAAAGAATTCATATTGTGTATTATGCGGCTAAGTATCTTTTGTAAGGGAAAATCATACAAAAGATACTTGGGTACTATAGTGCCAAGGTTCTGCTAGCACCCACCGCCCGGGATCAACTTTTGCTCCATTCGAGACTCCGGACATCATCAAGTTATACGCAGATCACCCAGTGACTTTCAAAATGCCAGGGAACGATGTTATTCGGTCGCTGAGGCTGCTGTCCCGCAGCTCGGGCGGACTCATGTCAGGCCCGAAGCAAGTGACGGTTAGTGCACTCCATGAATTCTTCTCGGTCCGGTTCTCGGACGCATTTACTGACAGCGTATCGAATCATACAGCAACGATGCCTTACACGCTCAATGGCAACCGAAGCCACTACACAGCCCCCAGTGGCGACCAAGGATGCTGTCCAGGTCCAACAGGCGCAACGACCAGGGGGCCAAACCCCTGTTCAAGTCATGACCTACCGGTGGCCTAACTTGGAACCCCAGCGTCTAGTCCATTACTCCCGGCGGCTACTTCAGATGCCCACTCGTCACGATATTCTCCACCGCGCAGTCGTCTACGAGGGCGACAGCACCCGACAAGGTTCCGCCAGCACCAAGTGGAGGGACGATGTGCACGGTAGTCACAGGAAGCTGTACGCGCAGAAGGGCTCCGGTCGTGCGCGTGCGGGTGACAAGATGTCGCCAGTTCGACGAGGTGGTGGTGTCGCTTTCGGACCTCATCCTCGTGATTTCTCGACCGATTTGCCACGAAAGATCTACGACCAAGCCTGGCGTATTGCCCTCAGCCACCGGCTTTCACGCGGCGAATTGATTGTTGTTGACAACAGTATCGATATCAATGAGGATGCGAGCCCGTTCTTCATCATAAATCTCATCAAAGCTCATGGCTGGTATCAGAAGGGCCGGTCTACATTCGTTACACTGAAGCCGAATGAGATGTTCTCTGATGCGGTTGAAAAGTTCGGTAACCACGCACGAACTATCAGCGTCGAGGATTTGGATGTGAAGAATGTCTTGGAGACAGCAAGATTGATTATTGAGAAGAATGCACTGCACAAGATCCTGCTTTCGCATTCGACCGACTTGGCGAAGGTGGACACTCTCTTTTCGCCTTCAGCAAACGGAGAGAAGGTGTATCCGCTGGACTTTAGCCGGATGAAGGCCACATGGAGCAACGTTTAATTGTATCATTCTCTGTTTCTTGTTTTTCTGGCATCATCTAGCTGTGTACAAATAGATCATCTATACTTCGAACGTTATCACTTCTCAGAGTCGGCTTTGGAGCTACAACATATTCAGTACTTAGCTGCCTGGTATCATAGCGTTGTCATAATATTTGAATCCATTTTCATTTATACTACTTAAAGATGACATCAATTGCGGTGATGTCGCCGAATGTACCTGGGAGCTTGTCGGTTATGGGCGGAGAGTCGGAGCGGAAAGAAAATCCAGCGAAAAACTCCCGAGGTCAAGGAAAGCGGAGAAATACCTGATTGTCATCACATAACGCCCTTCCTTGGTTATCGTCGTATTCCAGTTCTAATGTTACTTCGACAATTCAATCGCGTCTCCTCGCCGAGCTGGATCTCGCGCGTTCCTTCAGCAATGCCTCTACGCGCCAAGGTGACCAACCCTGCCTTTCGGGCAACAGCTATGGTATGCACCCTACACGGAGAGAAGCCCGATATCCAATGCTTACTATTGTTAGATGTCGACTTCATCTGGTATCCCCAAAGAGCTCCCTGGCGATGAGCGCGATGACGTCCTGTTCAACTCGATCTACGGCCTCCGCAGCGTTGAGCTCAACCGACCCAAGAAGCTCAACTCCCTCAACGGCTCGATGGCTCGCAAGATTGTCCCTCGATTGAAGGTTAGAATGGATACCCGGAATTTCAGAAATATATAATACTAAGCGTTGGATCAATAGGAATGGGAGAAATCTCATCTTGCAAACATGATCCTCATCTCCGGAGCCGGCACCAAGGCTCTCTGCGCAGGAGGTGACGTTGCTGCCCTGGCGCTGCAGAATGAGAGTGGAGTGGAGGGACAAAAAGCATCCGCGGACTTCTTCGCACTCGAATACCGCCTTGATCACCTGCTCGCTACATACTCGAAGCCTGTTATCTCATTTATGGATGGAATCACCATGGGCGGTGGTGTGGGCCTCAGCATGCACGCTCCCTTCCGAATTGCGACCGAGCGCACCCTTTTTGCTATGCCTGAGACCACGATTGGCTTCTTCCCTGACGTTGGCGGTTCCTTCTTCCTCCCGCGTCTGGATGGTGAGACCGGTACATACCTGGCTTTGACCTCGGAGCGCTTGAAGGGTGTTCAGGCTCTGTACGCAGGCATCGCCACACACTACTTGCACTCCAGTGTTCTGAGCAGTGTGACGCAGCGTCTTTCCGAGCTGACTTTCCCCGACCACGTTGAGCTTCGCGAGCGTTTGGAAATTGTGAACAAGACCATGGCTGAGTTCTCCCTTGGCCTCCCCCCGCTTGAGGAGGAGCCGATGCTCATGGCTGGTACCCTGCGTACTGCCATTGACCGCTGCTTCGGATTCAACACCATGGAAGAGATTATCCAGGCTTTGGAGAAGGAAACTGAGCACAAGGAGTGGGCGCAAAAGACATTGGAGACTCTGTCAGGCCGCTCCCCGACCTCTCTGAAGGTGACTCTACGCCAGATGCGTCTTGGCAAGAAGTGGACCATCACGGAGACCTTCCAGCGCGAGCACGAGATCGCCGCCAAATTCATGCGCCACCCTGATTTCGTCGAGGGTGTCAAGGCCCGCCTGATGTCCAAGCCTCCCCGCCAAGCCCAGTGGCAGCCCGCTACTCTCCAAGAGGTCTCGGATAAAATCGTGGACGACTTCTTCGAGATCCCCGACAACGAGTCCCGCCTACCGCTTCTGAGCCAGGGAGATTACACCAAATACCCTTATGCCCACTTCGCCCTTCCCTCCGAAGATGAGATTAAAAAGGTTGTGTGTGAAGGACACTCATCGCGGAGACCTGTGATCGACTACTTCCTCCAGAAATACGCCCACCGCGAAGGTGTGCGCCGAAAGGTGGTCGAGGTGATTGCCCGACGGACAACGACATCATCTCCCGAAGGACTTAAGTGGTTGGATTAAACAATGGGATACCGTTTATAGCTTGTAATTTTTGCTGTTCGGGTGTATTAGAATTTATTGGGAATTGGCCCATATACCATACTATTATTGCATTTCCTGAATCTGCAATCATCTTCAAATAGAAAAGAACCGTAGTCAAACATAAAAAAATTTGTTATATAAAACGTACAAATAGAACACTATAGACAACATGATATAAAAGTTTCCACGAGGGTCCTCAGCCCACCCGCGGCATTGCTGATCCGCCCAATTTGCTGTCAAATCCACATAAGCATTCGACCTGACACTTGCATATATGCTGTAAATTGCCAGCAGCGCTTCAAGATGGTTCTTGGGAGCGAGTTCCCAGAGCCTAGCCGGCACTCATCAGAAGACATCAGCAATTCCTCCAACCCTCTGTTGCCGACCTCGGCGGATGATGGCCCACCCCAAAATGATAGTCCAGCACCAGAAGCCCACTCAGTACTAACACGCCTATACATATCTCACACACTCTCAACATGGAACTCCCGCATGTTTGAATTCGGCGCCGTACTCTTCCTAGCTTCGATCTTCCCGGGGACACTACTGTATGCTTCGATATACGCTTTAGTGCGGGCGTTTTCAGCCGTCGCGCTGTCGTCGTGGCTGGGTGCGCAAGTTGATCGCTCAGACCGGCTTGTGGCTGTGAGGCATTCCATTGGTAGGTTGGAATCGCTTCGGATACTTCACTATGTGCCGAGTCTCAAGGCCAATGGCTAATTAAAGGAGTAGTGTGGCAAAGAGTCCCTGTTGCGATCTCGTGCTTGTGCTTTGTGGCCACTCTGTCTACAGACTCTTGGCCGCTTACGATTGTCTTGTTCGCTGTGCAGGGCTTGCTGGCTTGTATGGAGAAATTGGCCGCTACGGTTAATACAGTGGCTGTGGAACGGGACTGGGTATGTACAGGGAATCGTATTTGGGTTGTCTGGTTCATGCATCCGATATACAATCTTATTTTAGGAAGGGACATCGCTGCTAATTTGACACTAGGCAATCGTGATCTCGGAAAGTATCAATGTTCCTCGACAAGGTGAGAAACCTGAAGCCACCTGAAGCTCTGCAATACCTAACTTCGAACCACAGGCTTGAACGCCTCTATGAGACGAATTGACCTCTTCTGCAAGCTCCTAGCACCAGTATTTATCTCCTTGATCGACGGCATATCAACCCGATATGCAATCTGGACAGTGTTTACCCTGAATACCACATCTGTGCTGGTCGAGTATATGGCCATTGCCCAGGTCTACCAATCAGTCCCAGCCTTGACCAAGACGCAAGCTCCTACAACACAAGCAGATGATACGAGTAGCGAGAGCGATGCCCGCTGCTTGTCAGGCTCACTTGCGCCCTGGAAAGAGTACATAGCAAGCCCCGTCTTCCTAGCATCCTTTGCCCTGAGCCTGCTCTACCTAACAGTCCTATCCTTCGGCGCAACAATGGTCACATATCTATTGCACACGGGCTTCACCCCATTAGAGGTCAGCTATATGCGCATCGGCTCCGTGGTCGCCGAGCTATCCGGTACATGGACAGCGCCTATGGTCATGAACCGGATTGGTCCAATTCGCTCCGGGCTGTGGTTCCTGAATTGGCAGTTTATCTGTATCGCTGCTGCCACCGTGGCTTTCGTTTTTTGGGACCCTAGCTCGCAGTTTGTGGCGGGTGCGCTGATTACGGGCGTTGCTTTGAGTCGGATTGGGCTTTGGGGATTCGATTTGTCGGTGCAGTTTCTCGTGCAGGAGGTAAGTGGCTTTTCCGTATTTTTGATTTGTGCATGTGCTGAACTCGTTGGGTGATGTAGAATATCCAGGAACATGTCCGTGCCCGTTTCTCTGCTACTGAAATGGCGCTGCAGAATGTGTTCGAGATGCTTTCTTTTGCCTCGACTATTGCTTTCCCGCTGCCGGCCCAGTTCAGGTATCCCGTGCTGATCAGTTCTGGAGCTGTGGCGGTCGCTGCGGTCTGTTTTGCGACGTATGTGCGCAAGGAACGGGGACATCTACTGCATCGATCACGCTGTATAGGCGGAGATAAAGTGTCATATCGAGCGATTGGATCTGGGTCGGTTTAGAATATTTGAATTGGTTGTAGGTTTTTTGTATTATATTTTATGAGAAAGTCTCTACACCTCTCATGCCGAACATGAAGTTCAAATCACAACGAAAAAGTCCGAAAACATTTCCCGCCTCACACATTTCGAGTCTGCCCATGTGCGTGACACATCTTGCCGCCGGGTCATCTCCTCCACAAGCACTAGGACCCTATCAGCGGTCGGGTGACGAGTGGCCGAAGGTGCCGCGTCAGCTTCGTGGGCCGCAGCCATACGCTGAATCTCGTGGCCAATCCACTTGCGCTGGTCCTCCGTAGCCTCCAGCCCCGCAATGAACAGCGGCCATAAGAAACTGACGGGCAGATGGTCTGGCCCGGCAGAGTCAACGGTGGCCAGTTGAATGATTTGATCGACAGCGCCGTTGACGCGTTCTGTGCGAGGATATATTGCAAATGCAACGCGATGCAAGTAGATAAAGTTCGCTAAGAAGTTGGCCACGTATTGGCGGAATGTGCGGCAGATTTCCGATGCCACAGGCGCACAAAGGATGTCAGTTAGAGCTTCGGGCCGTCCGTAGACGTCTATTACTGAGGGGCGTCGGTGCCAGAGTGTTTCGAGATCGGCGCCGATTTTGTGGGCGAGTTGGAGTACTTCGAACTCGTCGGTGAGAGTTCCGCGGCTGCGGTGGTGGAGGTCGATGCAGACTATGCGTCGTACGACTTGTTGGGCTTGTACGAAGAATCGGAATGCCGGGCCTACGATTGCTTCGTAGACGAGGTAGTTGGGGCTGAGGAATGGGTCTTCGATGCTGTCCTCTTGTTTAAAGTTGGCTGTTGGTGCGGTTATGTGAGATGTTTGGGAAGTTTGTGTATCCGGTGGTTTCAGTGTTATGCTATGTTCTGGGATGTTGCCGAGTTCAGGGAGAGGATCGCCATCTCGGCCTGCAATCAGGGACTTGACATCTAGCAGTAAGATCCATGACACCAAAAGATGACCGAGACCGGTCCAATGTCGAGTACGATCATGGAATCGTTGTAGAATAAGGTACCCGGAGTGAATATAAGAAGTTCCGGTGCATATTCCGGAAGGTGAGAGAAGCTGAAACAATATGAGCGTTCGCTCGATCTCGGGACTAAGCAGAACATACCTCGGATATCATTAAGAGAAAAACAGCTCCAAAAACTTTGATGAGTGTGGACTCCGTCACCTCGCCATGAATACAAGCTTGGATCTCCGAACTAGCCACTCTATAAAAGGTAGGCGCCCAGCGCCATTTTTTCCCTTCCATCATCGCTTTATGAACATCCGCGTAGCAGTATAAAGCATTCAAAAGCGGACTGGAATCTCGTGCATGAACCAGCAGCGCTGGGCGCATATACTTCCACTCGATGTTTACCGGCGCAAAAAGAGCAGCCGGCGGGCCAATGGTCAGAAAGTGCTGTAGCAGTTGGTCCTCATACGAGATACCGCCTGCATCGGATAAGCTGCCCCTGCTAGTTGGCATGTCTGAAGCGCTGCCCGAAGATGAGGTATTTGGAGTAAGAATGCGACGGTCTGGTGTGAGTGTCCCGGGTAGCGACTGCGACGCTGGACTAGCGGTCAAAGTCATCGCGGGTCCAGCAGCCAGGTCCAGGTGCTTCTGTTCCAGCTCAGAAGTAATCCCGCCCATGAATACGAGCATGTCAAACTCCGAAGGGTGGGAGCCCTGGTCTGTAGGGAGCTGTCGAAGTGTGGTTGTTGGCGCGGGTATTGTGTGGCCGTCTGCGCGGAGCACGGTATTAAAGAAGTTTATGTAGGGAGAGCGGGATGCAGTCGTGGCTGCAGCAGAGGAGCCTGAACTCCCTGGGTGTGCTGTGTTATTCGATGCAGTTGTCTTGTTTGCACGAGTTGGCGATGAACCCAACCTCACGCCGGGTGCGGTGCGTGGTTTATACAGGCATAGTAGACATAGTCGATCGCAATTGGAGCAGCTTGGTTTCGCTTCATCGCATCGGACCTTACGGGACCTGCATGTTAGGCACCCTGTTCGTCGACGCGGGCCTGACCTGCCAGCTCCCCGGGCTTTTGGCACCTGAGAAGAATTCACATTAGTTGAGTGAGGCATAAGGGAATATCCAAATTACCTCCATGATAAAGCAAGGCAAAGCATACTAGATATACAAAGTAGTCGCAAAGAATTTCGATGGTGGCTGGTTTCCCCGCAATGGCGCCGGTTCTCGGGTGCGATGACGAGCTCGGGTGGTCAAATTGAATTGAAGATATTCCAAATGACGAAATTAACAGATCTAGAAGTCCTAAAGGTGCAAGAAGATCTTTAGGATATTGTGAATATACACAAATTTAATTCATAGCTATGTAATAATGGAATACTTCCAAGTAGAAAGTACGTGATCATAGGGTGTATGAGCCCTATAACTACAACTTATGCCCTATATAAACTTCATATCAAACCTCCCTCCTCCTTCTCAGCCAACTTCCTCTGTACAAAATCCTCCATCGAATTCCTTTCCTCAACAGTCAACAATCCAATCCGATCTCCTAAAGTACCTTCTCCAAAGAACCTGCGATCAATCCTCGCCCAGTAGATAACATCAAAAGCCCAACTCCTTCTCGCCGCATAACTAACCCAGAACCCCCCACTATTCCAGCTCTCACGCATATGTCTAGAAAGCCGATTTTCCTCACTCATAACCCCACGCCGAATGTCAACATCCTCTCGCATATGTAGCTCCTGCAAGAAAACCTCCAACCGGCTCTCATACACCCGCTCCCAGTCATCAAGCCCATTATCCCAGTACTCTGGCCGCTCAAGCAGTAGCCAGCATGGCGGGCTATACACAAACTCCAACGGCGCAGCATAAGCAAATTCCCAATCAATAGCCCCGGATATCTTATACCCAAAGTCCGAGTTAGCAAGCACATTCGCCGGTCGTAGATCATCACAGAATAACTTAAACACCCCTTCCTCCCCGGCGCAACAAAGACGGCCCTCCCTCGCAAGCTTCCGGAACAAACACCGCGCAATGTACTTCGTCCTGCAGTCTTCCGCATCATCAATAGCGTCATTCCGTTGGGATGAAAGATGCGTCATATGCAGCTCCGCAAGGGCAAGTAAATACTCCGCTGCAGTCGCAAACGTCTCGGTTATCCCCGGCAGATCCCCAGCCCGTACACCACCAACCTGCACCAGCTCATTCATGTCGATACTCAACGGCCGGTGCGCAACCACCCACTCATCCTCAAACTCGTCTTCCGCGGCATTAGATATACATCCAATCCGCGGGAACGAGTGCTTCGCAACCTGCAGCAACAAGCCCGCCATCTGATTATACACCGAGCGCAGCCTGTTATCGTCGATATTGGGATCGAGAACGGGTCGTTCTTCATCCGGTATCCCGGGTGTGTTCAGCGCATCCACCAGATCTGCGTTATGGTCGATATACTCCATGATAATGAACGGGCCTAGGCCGTGTGGGCTTTCGTCGCTGGTGCCGTGGTGTAGGACGTGCGGGATACGGATGCCTGTGTGTCGCTCGAGAAAGTGCATCACGCTTACTTCTCGGTGGAGTTTCTCGTCTGGGAAGATTGAGTAGCCTGGGATTGGGAAGCGAATTATGGCCGAGGCGCCGTCGAGGAATCGTAGGCGGATCACCATGTTGAAGGAGCCTTTTGTTGGTGGGAAGAGTTGGTCTGCTACGCCTTGACGGTGGATTTTGATTAATGTGGTTATCTTCTGCATGGTTTCTTGGTTGAGAAGGATTGCTTCCCATGTTGCTAGTTGCTCGTCGCTTTTGTCCCAGGCTACTTCATCGAAGAACATTAGTTTGCCTTTCATGATTGGTAGCATTTTGGTGTTCCTGGTATTATATCAGGGGGAGTGCTGGGTTCAGGGGGATGTATGTCTTTATAGACAGACGTCTTTGTAAATGCTTTACCCCGCGGTTACTCAGAATATCGGTAAGCTGCATGTTCTGGAACAAACAGCGACTGTCATTCTATTTGTTTATCTTTGCAACAGTTCAATCAGAGGTTCGGCTATAATACTTATAGTTCTACCTTTCCTCAGAAAGGCTTCATAGTCCACTGAAACCTCAGCGGCTGGCGCGTAAACTTCCCCCCGCCTAAACTACGGCCCTTGATTATCTGAATCTAAGAAGTAAATATCTACTAAAGAGCCACTCGCGTAGGTTTCACTAAGGATGACTTGTGCGTGGATGTGAATCTTGCGTTCATAATTCGACAAACTTGTATCTTGGTAGAAACAGTGTGATCCTAATAGCCCAACAGGGATCGAAACCAAAATCCGATGTTAACAACTATTGGCTTTTTGCTCAAGGTGCATCTGACCTTTATAGGAATATGGCGAATGAAGTCAAGGTGAGAGCTTTGAGAGTTGGATAATAAGAGTGTTGTCGTACTGCATAACTAACTATTGTTGTCACAATTGATTGGTCATCAATTATGTGCCACGTGACTTCCAGAGTCCGTGCTGACATATACTTAAAGCGTCAGGTGAGTCTAGAAGCAGCTCAGATAACGGAGATGCCATCACTTTATACAATGTTGTACCTATATTGTATGTTGTAACACAGAAGAATGGAAATCGCCATTTTAAACTCAATAATGGTATTCAAAACTATAAAAACATGAAACTGCATATATATCTTCCCTGTACAACATACAGAGACAGAGTATGTTGTACTCCGTACTTGATCTCCATTTACCCTCTGACTTAGTACTAACTACACTTATAACTTATAACTACTCAACTCCATGCCAATACATTCTTAACACTTCATGCTTCATGCACGTAATGTAGCAGATAGGTGGCGTTGTACTCCGTACAGACTGCATCGTACACTGCTCACATAGCTGCAGCACATTCCCCCACTTCGCTAGACCGCCAGATGCAAGGAAGATCGACCAGCGCATACATGTTCCTTTGCTTCGTTCAGACACACATGCATTTGCATTTCAGACTCTGCAGGCCTGATTTGCTGTCACAACTTGGCCCACACTGAACTGTTCAGAATGTTCAACTCGGCAATTCGTCACCATTTCCCTATCTCTTGATTTCTTTGAAACGTGATCAACAGGGATACAAGGAAGCTCCTTGCGATACGATTATCATTGGTCGATCTAAATAAAGCCCTCGGCGCTTCTAAGTTGCTTCAGATTGTTCCCGGACTGACTTGTGTGACGAATTACAAGTCTTCATAACCATTCGGGCTTTTCAGCTGACACAAACCTATTCCCATTGGAAGTTGGGCTGACGTTTCGTGTTTCTATAATACTGATACCAATTTCCCTTATTATAGAGAATGTCTGATGGAATTCGCGGGGAAATTGGAGATATACTATTTTCCATCAACCCCCCCCTAGATTCCTAGGATTCCGCACCTTTTGACACTCGATCTGAGACCATGGAATTCCACCCCTAGGCTATGCCTCAAGTCCCTATACTCCTGATTCCATCGCGAATTCCCTACTACGATTCATTTCATGTCCTTTTCTCTTTTCCTCCTCTTTCCCTGGTATGCCCTGATTTGTATGAATCGGGTCTTGATTCCGAACTTATCCGATAATCATGCTCCAAACTAGAAAGTCAAAAAAGGATGGAAGAAAGAGGACATACTCGTTGGTGTCCAATACTACAAACCCACAGGCTGGTCCTGTCGCAAGCCCTAAAACTGTCGAGAACAGTTCACCTTCACAACGGCCCAATGGGTCAAGACAAGCCCTAAATGCGCCTGTCGCTCCAGCGAACCCAAAGAAACCAGAGTCGAAGAAGATGCCTAATGTCTTTGAGTTCCTAGAGGAGAACGATGAATCGTCTTCAGACTCATCCTCGTTATCGTCATCATCGGAGTCTGAATCAGACGAGGAGCCGGAGCCTCCACGCCCTATACAATCCACCACCCAGATCCAGGCTCCTAAGCCGCGGACAAACACTGTGCCACACGGAGTGTTGGTCTCAGGAGGCAACACCCCCCCGAAGAAAGTCACCCAGTCACCCCCAGTAGCATCCAAAAGTCCAAAAGAACCACGAAAGCCCGCGCCTTCTACAGGCAATCAGTTAGTCACCCGGAAGAGACAACCCACTAGAAAGCCGAGCCCGATTTCGACTGCGCAAACCTCGCCAGGAATAGGCGAACTAGAACTGTCCCGACCACAGACCTACCATGAATCGCCAAGAGACAACGGTGCGATCCATAGACCACCGCTCCCTCCATCACCTCCAAGAAGCCCAGAAGATAGTCTTCACCGCACCACGCCAACAAAGAGACGAGACTCCAACGTATCGCAAGAGCCATCAGGATACGGGCTTCTAGCCTCGCACCTAACCAAGTCCGCTTCAGAAGAGAGCGGAAGCTTCCCTCCGCTCTACCGACGCTTCGAGACCGTCAACCACCGCGTCCTCCTCCACCTCCAAGACGAGATTTCCCAAATGGAAGAAGATCTCCACACGCTAGACGAGTACGAAGAAATACATCGAGTCAGCACAGCCGAGCAAGAAGGCGCAAAGCCCTTACCGGCTTCCCGCAGACGGGACGCCCAGGCCCAGGCCTATTCGTCGTTGCATTACCGCCGCATGGATCTCATGAGCGCTTTGATCCAAAAGACCGAACAATACAGTAAGCCCCTTCCACTTTCCATATCGCTATCCCGCAAAGTTGCTCTCTGACCAGCACGCAGACAACGCCCTCTGCGCGTACAGCAAAGTCCTACAGACGCTCCCGCGGGCCTCGGAACAGGATATCGCGGGCTATCGCGGCTGGATGAGAGAGCACAAGCCCGTCGCTGGTGTCGAGACGCGGTTCCTAATCCACGATGCGGATCTGGTCTCCCTCACTCCGCGACTGGCTGCATCGGCCGCTGCCGCACCCGTCTACGTCGCAATCATCATCGCATCGGGTGCGCTCCTGTTGCCACTGTTGGCGTTCAGCCTTATTGCGGAGTTCTCTGGTCGTCTGGTCGTTGTGACGGTAGTTGGTGGTGCCGCCGCGGCTATTGCGGCGAATTACTCGGCTGGTATTGATACGCTGGTCGACTCGAGGGATGGTTGGCGCTGTGCTACGATGTATGATTGCTTTGACTCTGTTGTGGCTGCGTTTGAGACTGACCTTTTGCTTCTAGATACTTCGGTTTCATGGCTATTGCTGCTATGTTCATTCCCTAGCTTCGATATCCTATTTTCGCAAGTTGGGTTCCCGCCTGCTATCAACTACTTATGACTTATGAATCTTCTTTGTTCTAATTTTTTTTTTTTGTGTTTCCTTGGCGATGAGCTTTCTTTTTGATTTTGTCTTTTTGTGAAGGGAAGGTTGGATGGGTACACCCTACTGGGCACGGAAGAAAGGGATGGCGTTCATTTTCCGGCGATTGCTTCAATAATTGGATAGGGCAGATAGACGAGTATCTCGGGTTTGGCATGTAAAGGACTATGAGCATTGGGCAGAAGATACAGCGGACTGGGAGATACTATAGCAGGATGGGTGTTTCTTTATATCGGGGATAGCAGTGTACTATGTATGAGATATGATTTAGGAACGCTTTGAAAGCTCGTTTTTTCAATATCTCCCTCTACGGTCAAATCTCCACGGAAAGCACGAGGTGTGCTGATATGCAGCATATTGATTGAATTGCATCGGAAGCGAGAAACAAGTAACTCTCTAAGCAAGACTTAGCTGTGTCGCAGAGGCAGCCTATACACCCCGGCCGACCAGTCTTGAAAAAAAAAACCATCCACGCCAATCGCTTAGTCCATAATACAACACCAAAAAGAAAAGTCATACAAAACCGAGGATCAAGAGGTTCATTAAAAACACAGTTGGGAGAAAAGAAAACGGGGACGCGGATCACATCCAGAGCTCATAATTGGAAACGAAAGAGAAAGAAGAACAATGCAAAAAGTCAATAAAGCAGAAAGCCGACTTCAGAGAAATGTAATGTTGGGGTTTCGATCTTTAGAAACAAATCGCATTTTTGAATGGGAGCACAATGTCACATGCTCGAATTAGTGCAAATATCTGCCCTACGTGGATAGGGGTGTACCATTTGCTTTGCTCCCTGGTGTCATGCTGCCTTCTTGGGAAGCACGGGCATCCGACCCTTGAGGTTGAGGCGTTGAGGGACTGTGGCCTGACTGTCGAGCAGCTAGTTGCGCCTTGTTCCTGTCCATCAGCGCAGCTTGTTCGGCCGCACTACGAGAGTATGTGGCACTAGCGGCCGAGTTTGAGTAGCCAGCTTGTGAAGGAGTCTGGCCTGGGTACTGAACTCGCTGGTTCGCGGTTGCAGTCGCGTATGGCGTACGCCCCTGTGGCGTGGCGTTGAATGTGCCTGGTTGCCTGGGCTGTGGCGTATAAGGTTGCGGAGACACTTGGGCATATCCATTGGAGGTAGGGCGCTGGTATTGGGGAGCTTGACTGCCCTGGCTGTACTGTGGGTTCATTTGCGCGTATTGAGGGGTGTTGACTTGACGTTGACTGGGTGTGCTCGGTGGACGCCCCGCGCCATAAGCATGCGTGTATGTATTTGGAACTGAGGGCTGCCGTGCGTGCTGCGGTGTGACCTGGAACCCGGGCTGAGGCGGAGCCCGAGCATTGGAAGCAAAAGCACGTTGGTTGTAGGCACTGTGAGAGCCTTGGTAATTACTGGGTCGTGAGGCGGAGGGGGTTGAGGTTCGATTTGCTGCGCTGGCTGCTGCGAGCAATGCGGCGGCTCTTTCTTGTGACAAAGTGAAGTCATCCTTTTCCATGGTACCACTGTAGTCAGGAATGTCAACCAAAACCTTTTGGCTGATATTCAACTCCGCGAGCTGATCACCGTCCAATTTAGCGACAGCAT